AAATACTCCCACTCACCTTACTCGGGGCGATAGGTGTCATTTGATGATTTCACTCTTTCACAAAAAGCCTAAAGTCTTACGATAATCGACAGCAACACAATAATTGTGTTGTTGCTACCAATTATTGGTGATTAACACGTTAAGCGCTATGGGGGTCACCGGTGACTTCCGTTAGCAGAGGATTTGCCTTCAACATTTTTCTGTCGGTAGTCAAAGGCTTAAAATATTCATGTATATATTTTTTTATTTTAAAGTAAAGTAGAATACAATTGTAATAATGATATTAATTACATTCACAATCCTCAGCGGTCAGTGCGTGCGACATTCGGAAACTAGCATTCAACGGCGCATACGACTGTTTCGGGGATAGCGAGTCTTCCAGCTGCATACTGACCTGCCCGGCCGGCAGCACGTTCAGCTCACCTGCCGCCGAGCTATACTCTTGCAAGTATTCTACTGGGATCTTCGAACCTCAACCGATACCACACTGCGTTTTCCGTAAGTTACCTACAGTTTTATGTTTCATAGGGTTTGTAAGTAAACAGTATGAGTATAATACTTCCATAACAACCATAAGTAGATAGGCAGGTGACTCAGGTGAGTCACTGCGGCCTCAGCCCAGAACAAAAGAAGGAACTGGGGTTTTTAGCCAGTAAGAGTTACACATCCTGCCGCCCGAGCCTGGGCGTGAGAAGTCATTTGATTGTTTCACCTCCCCCCCTCTAAGCCCCCGGAGCCTGATAGGTATATACATTAAAAATAAAAGAGATTACAAAAATGTTTTCCTTTTACAGCTGAAGTAGTCGTTATAACGCCAGGGAGCCACAGACACAATAGTGTAAGTATACAAACTTGTTTTCTTCTTGACTAACTCCTCATAAACTTAATGTTCAAATGCGAGGTAGACAAAGTATGATAGATTTTTTACACCTAAAAGTTTTCAGATCAGTAGAGGACAAATTATTTTATCCAAGTCCACAGAACAGAAAAGTACTTAGCATATTTTCTGTTCCGTGGACTAGTATAAAAATACGCTGTGAAACGCTTACAGTAAATTTTACATATCATATATACTAGCTACTCTCGCGCGGTTCCTTTCAGCCGCTGCTCGACTCCAATTCGTCGTAGCATGATGTCTTATAGCCTAGCCTTCCTCATTTAAAGGAAAAAAAATATTCAATTTGAACCAGTAGTTCCGCTCATTCAAACAAACAAACAAACCTCTTCAGCTTTATAATATTGATATAATATAAGTATAGATTTTTTCCTTTCTTGGACAAAGCTAAGACGTTTATTATACCTACCTACACAACTATTATCATGATCATTTTGAAAAACAGATTCTTTTTCTCTTACAGACATACACCTACTACTCTGAGACCTCAAGCGAGTCCCACGGTCACCAGGAGATTATAAGCCAGAGTCATACCCACCATTCCATGGGGGGAAGCTCCCTCAGCACTATAGAGGAGCAGACGACGCACGGCATGCACGGGTCGCACTCCACATACGGCACGGGACGGCCCATTGTCGTCATACAGGACCGCACGCCTAAAGGGGGCACTTGCTTAACTTGGGCTGGCGTACACTACAAGACTTTTGACGGAAAGATCTATAGGTACGTAGTCTTGTTTACGATTTTATCTTTCAAAGTTATAGACGTTGTTAAAGTGACGTCAATGCTCGTTGAATTTTTGTGTGACGAAACAGGAATAAGTAATATCCAATATTTTCATTGAAATGTCCAAAACGATACTTGTATTATATTTATTTTATTTGATATTACACATGACGACATTATGCCATCTCATCAAATAACACACTTCTTATTTCTGACAAAATTAGGATTGAGAAAATCTAAAATTCACGATGAAGGAATTCATTGTATTTAAAAGTCAAATTATTTTGTTTTTGACCTAGGAAATTAGCCAATTAGACCTCTCGATTCGAGGTTTCTATACCTATATTAGCAATTAACTTGAAACTTACTTAAACATTAGGTTAACAGTGGTGTACCTACTTAAATATTATAAAATTTAATTTGGTATAAAAATACGAAAATGCCTTTTCGTAATTATTTAAAAAATCTAAGAGCAAATTACAGTCACTATTTGAAATATTTCTAAGTAAAAGACGCGACGACGTTTTATAAATATATATTTTTCACCAGCTTCCAATCCCCCTGCCAACATATCTTGGTACGTGACGCGAAGGAGCACCAGTATTCAGTAGAGATCAAGCACGGCGTCTGCAATAACCCAGCTGTCTGTCCCAGCGAGCTGACGGTTTACCTTGACGACAAATTCTATGTCCTGAGTGTTGGAGGTAGGTTGGACTTATAACATTTTAGTTGTCGCTAGTGAGGGGTCCTCCATTAAACATTTTTCCATTTGTACGTAATATTATTCTACAGACGATGGGTCCGTGGTGTTCCGTAACACGAAGCGCCTGATCCCAATTCCTGCATCGCTGCCCGGTATCCGCGTCGCCATGCCCAGTGACTATGTCGTAGTTAACTTGGATGCCGTCGGAGTCACCATCAAATGGGATACCAATGTAAGTAAGCCTAAGCGTTATTTTTAAAAATGCCCAACTCTTGAAGGCTCTTGTAAAGAAACTTAAAAAGTAGGTACATAATTTCACAGACACATAACACAAGGAATAAACTCATGGCACAGCAGAAGGTCGCCTGGCCACAGAGTCAATCGTACAGTAATACAGTAGATCTTCAATCTTTAGATGGGTTTTACAAATTAGATCTCTCACCCAGATGTTATTATCAACTTACAAGGGCCACATGGTCCTCTCGTCCTATCCTAGTGCAGACTTTATTTTCTTCAGTTAAGCAAAATTTCTTACTAATGTAAACCTTGAATAAACCGCAAAAATCCGCTAAGTGCAAAGTGACTTATATTATGGGCCTTGTAAAGAGTGGGTGTGTATAGGTCATTAAACTGTCAAAACCTAATAATGCAAGGACATTAGTGGTAATGGTATAATTCGGTATTTAGTTACCTTATCTAGCATCCGTTTATGTTTATATGATCCTGGATAAACTGCGTCTGCGTCCGTCCGTTGACATCCGCTTTTAGATAGATTTGTTATTATTTAAATCTGAATAAATACCTATTTGATATTTTACTCTTATTTAAGTATCCCTATGTATATTATTAATATAAGTATGTCAATGCTGCAATTTTTTACCAAATTGTCCTAAATTTGAGTGAGGTGTTGCATCGAGAAGACCCTTAGTCTGTCCTGTAGAAGCATTTTTACCATATTGCTTTGAGTACTTACTTGTCAGGCTTACTGCTGGACTTGTTCCGCAGGACAGCGCAGTGAGCTGTAGTGATCAATATTAGTAACAACACTGATTTCAATAACATCATTAAACAAAACCTTGAAGTTTGTCTGAAATCACTAATCCATAGTGTATTTGTAAACCCTATTTTTTAAACATAACTATAAATTTCAGAACGTGATCCTCGTGGAAGGGTCAGTCGTTCAATGGAATAACACGGAAGGTCTGTGTGGCACTCTAAACGGTAACCCGGAGGATGATTTCATGACCAGGGACAAAACTCTCGCTAAAACAAAGTCCGTCCTCGCTTCATCGTGGCAAGTTAATAAGATCGGAGGTAAGATACCTTTGCAGAGAAACTTTAAGAATTTTTCAATCTATACTAGTATTATAAAGTTAAAGAGTTTGTTTGTTTGAACGCGCTATTCTCCGGAGGTCCTGGTTCAGATTGAACAATACTTTTTTGTTAGTTAGTTAGTCAGTTTGTCCTTCCTCAGTATTTATTACCTACTCCAAATTATGTACCAAAAAGTTGTTAACCAGTTGTTAAGAAGATTACCTACTATTCAAATTATTGATGGAAATTGTGAATTTAGAAAGCGAAAGAAAGGAAAACAAAAAAATAGAAGAAAATATATAATATACTAAAAATCTAAACTAAATTATACGACCTAAAATAAATTAATAACATTTAAAAATTCCATCCTCCAAATCTATCAATCTATCTAATCTCTTTGCCTTTTCAGATGTATGCGACAGCCAACCAACGGAAACGAGCGTTTGCGCATCAAAAACTGATGATGACATGACGAAAGCTCAGCACTTCTGCGCTACGATATTTTCTAAAGATAAATTTAGAAAGTGTTCAAAGGTAAGTCTTTCTTAATAGAATCCAGAAAACGGCCTAATGGTTCCGAATATGTACATAGTCGATGGTACGGATAAGATGATAAGGTAAGGAAGTAGGTATTAGAGATACGGTAAGGATTGTGCATAATAGATGGTAAGAAACTGGTACCGACCTGATGGTAACGAATAGGCGCCTCCCATGGACACTCATAATAACCAAAGGAGGTTTTGGCCATAAGTACATTGCTGGCCTAGGGTAGATTGTTGGAGATTTAAGGCTAATAATTGGGGTTTGAGGATGGGGACGGCGAGGGAAAGTTTATGGAAACACAACGTAAGCGTTTCACGCCGGTATCTGTGAGATCCTGCCATCCAGGCTGCATGCAAATGATGAAGCATGGCGGGCGTCCGACACTAAAAATTCTTTAGGAATAAATGTAAGGAAACATATTTAGTTTTAATTCCGCGACAAATATCCAGGCTTGTTGCAGGATGCAATCCTACTCCTAAAGGTAACATACATATGCACACAAACGGAAAATCATGCCACGCAATCAAACCTATACTCGACACGTGTTTCGCCCCTCCACAAGGTATCCTCAGGAGATGTTGACTGTCCTGTCTTGAGAGTCCTGAGAGTTTAGGAATACAATATTTATAGTTCATTTTTTCAGGTTACCATAACCCTAAAAAGTAAGTGAGAGGTTTTAAATTACTTTCCTTAAACAGTGCCTAAAGGAAAGAACAGATGCTAAGTTAACTTAGCATCTGTTCTTTCCTTTACAGTTGGATTTTCTTACTTATCGTATGAGATTTTGACAATATTAACTTCTTTGTTCAAGGTTATGGATGTGACTCTTCTTCTAGAAGCATGCGCATGGGATTACTGCGCTTGTACCACCAGCTTAAGTGAGTAGAATTGTTATTTGTATACCATAATTAGATAGAGAGCTATTAATTGTTCTTTTGAACTAAATTAGCGGTTCACCGCAACTTCAGATAAAAAATCTTAAGAACCAAACATTCAAACTAACATTCAAACATAGGTACTTTCTCTTTTTGTTTTTTAAAATGGCGGCAAACTAGCAGTCATGTCGTCTTGGAACTCTAGATATCGGTAGGCGGCATCCTAGCAGTCACATCACCTTGGAACTCTAGCTGTCGGCAAAGCGCACTATCCAGGCCTTCACAGTTTAATTGACTTGGACGACCTCAACAACTATTTCTCCCAGTTCCTGTTAAGAAAAGTCTAGTCAAAAACCGCACTGTGGTATTTATCTCTGGTCTGATGCATCCCAACATTTCTCATCCTTTTCTTTTCGTACCAGTTGAGTCGTCGAAGGTCGGTAAGATAATCCTGTCAAGTTCAAAGCGGTTGGTTGTAATAACATTTTGCGCCATATGATCGTTAATGTCTTGGATCACCTCCTACAAGCTTTTATCCACATCATACATTATTTCCTCTATTTCTGAACCTTCCCATCCCTGTGGCGTAATGCCTTTGTTCTTACTTGTCGACGTTCCGGTAGTCTCTACTCCTACTATTTCAGTAATTTCCTTTCATTTACAGCCTATATCTACACTCTCTTTCCTGATCAAAGTCCTTGAAGCCCGTGTTCACAAACAGCTATCCAAATTCATTTATATGAATGGGCTTATCAGCCCTGTACAATCTGGATTTACGTCTGGACACAGTACGTTATTCAAGTGACCCTCTTCAAAGTGACTGACGATATAAGAGCCGGCCTCGATGACACCTAGGCCACGGTTCTGGTTTTTGGTGGGTTTTTCGAACGCTTTTATTATGGCCAGGCATGATATAGGTTTAGGTTTAATGAACTTTATTCTCATAATAACTTAAATAACAGTTCACTTAAAATAAGATACATAATATTAATGCTTACATCTAAATGTTTTTTGTAATGTTGCCTCTGGGTATCGGTGACGTTCGTCTTTTCATCATCATCATATGCTTTTAGCAATCTTGGCCCATTTTATAATCTGTTGATCAGACAAATCACTGGAATCTATTCCTATCTTCAGGAGCGTCAGAATTCGATTAAGCTTGATTAGGTTTCATTACATAATTAAAATATTCATCTTGAATTTTGAACAGTCCAAAATTATTCGAAAAATTTCACTCAAGTGTTTTTATCAAATGAATGTTTTTGTTCCTCTTTCTACGTTCTTTCTATTGTGATTGTTAGAGTAATTATTTTTAATGTTTGTTCTCTGTACAGGCCCTGAGGAATGCGCTTGCAGTACAGTCTCCGTGTACGCTAAGGAATGTCTTCGTCACGGAGTGGAGGAGATGAAGGACTGGCGTGATGCTGAGACTTGTCGTAAGTTTTATTACGTTAACCACTGCGTACGTGACTGGTGGCCAACGGCAGCGTAGGATTTGCTTTCCTTTTTCTGTCAGCTATAAAGCGCTTAAAAGTACTTCTTTGTTTGCAGTTTCTTGTTCAAATTTGACTACGCAAACTGAAACTGTAAAATTGAAAATGATTACTGTCTTCTTTGATTTCTAGCAATGAAGTGCCCAGAAGGTAAGATCTACAAGGCATGCGGTCCGGACTCGCAGCCCAGCTGTGCGTTCCCTCTGATGTCCGCGCAGACTACCAACTCCTCCTGCGTGGAGGGCTGCTTCTGTCCTGAAGGACTACTCCTCGAGGGGGGCAAGTGTGTGCCCAAGACCGAGTGCCCTTGCAGACTGAGGAACAAGAGCTTTAAGCCTGGATCTACTATTAAGAAGGATTGTAATACTTGGTAAGCAGTTTTTACCGACCCCTGGTTTTGCTTTGTTCTGTTTTGAGGTATTTTGTGATATAAAGAAAAACAAATACTTTGTCTTGGTGTTGCTATTAAAAGCTGATAATTTCTTTTTTGAAAAATACTTTGATTAATTTATCACTCCGCATAATAATAAATCTGAAAGTCTAATAAAGAAAAAGATACGACTAGATCTATTTGGCAATCTAGTATCTGTATAGATAGTACAGTTGTTAAGATATCCTCCTATAAAGATTATTTGAACTCTCCCCTCCTCCCAGCACGTGCGAGGGGGGAGCGTGGACGTGCACGCAGATAGCGTGCGGCGCGCGTTGCGGCGCGATGGGGGACCCGCACTACTACACGTTCGACGGCCTGCGGTACGACTTCATGGGCCGCTGCACCTACACCATGCTGCAAACTGATAACGTCACTGTCGAGGTCGAGAACGTCGCCTGTTCAGGGGCTATCACTGAGGTATAATAATGCAAAGTCCATGCCGAAATCATTTATTCCAACTAAACCGTAAAGGTACTCTTGAAAAATGAAAAAATAATCCTGCCCGTCTATTCGTCAGTGAAGCTAGGTGCTTCAACTATCATAAAGCAAATTCAATTTATCGGTGTGATTGGAAATTAAGTAGTAGATATTTTCTCAGTCAGATCATTCATAAACAAGTCTCTGTCTAAACTAATATTATAATGCGAAAGGAACTCTGAACTGTCTGTCTGTCCGTCTTTTCTTCACGCCTAAACTACTAAACCGATTTCTGTGAAATTAGGTACAGACATAGTTTGGAACTCGAGAAAGGACATAGGATAGTTTTTATACAAAAAATCTGCAGGAAGTCACTTTTCCATGCGAAAAGAGTCGCGGGCAAAAACTAGTTTTCAATAAATATCTTAAATATGCTGACTGAATTCTGTTGATTAAAATTTTTACTTTAAATCAGTTGTTAATGAAATACGAATCATTGCCTCTCAAAAAAGGAGTCTATTATTAAATGATTCATTTAGCCTCAATTATAGCACATTCTAATCTTTTAGGCAATGAATCTAAGTCCCTACAAAGGAGAAGGGAAACCATCTTGTACAAAGGCAGTGAATATTATCTACGATGGCGCTAGTGTGCACATGAAGCAAGGAGGGTTTGTACTGGTCAACGGCAAGGAGGTCTCAACGTTACCTGTCATGGCGGGCGATATCAGAATTCGAGCTGCTTCTTCTATGTTCATAATTGGTGAGTTCTAAATTTAAATCTGATTTTCCTGCGAATTTCTTTTGGGACATTTGGATGTTTGCTTTATGAACAGCTATAAAGTTAAAGTCGAGCATACCTATTGTTTATTGACCCCCGCAGGGCCTATAGAGTACTGAGAGCGAGCTACTTTTATATTAACGTGATTAAAGCATAAGAGCATTATGCCCTCTGATTGGTTGATGATGATGATTGATGAACTTGGTTCAGGCCAATCAGAGCGCCAAACGTCATTAATGTTTTGATCGAGCTTACGTCAAGCGAACTTTAATAATAATAATTACTAAAGATATTCTAAATTGAACTGAAAGCACTAGTAATATTTTTATATAAGTATATTACCTATAGTGAAATAAACGATATATTAAAATTATTTCCTAGTGCAACTCCCCAACAAAGTGGACTTGTGGTGGGATGGCAACACTCGTGTTTTTATCGACGTGCCTGCTGAGTTCCAAGGAAAGACCAAAGTAAGTAAATTTAAATATATATTTTAATCAATAACATAGGTAAAAAAGCAGTTAGCAGTACTCAGTGTATGCTGGTGGTACCAGTGGCTACTTCTAAATAAGTAATTAGTGGTCTGTAGTGCTATAAATATTTAAAACGTCCACAGAAACTTTCATTAAACTTATTCAGTTTGGAAAGAGTATTCTGTATTGAGATTAAAATTCTCAAATACCAATACAGGCTGGTCACGTAGTCGCAAATAGTAAGCTAAAGATACTAAAAACCCTGATGAATAACCAAGATGCGTACCTACCTATTAAGTTATCTTACACAAAAAAAAAACATAGGGAACTAACCCCACAACAACAACAATAACAATACAGGGTCTATGCGGAACCTTCAACTTGAACCAAAAAGATGACTTCTTGACCCCTGAGAATGATATTGAGCAGTCGGCCCTAGCGTTTGCCAACAAGTGGAAGACCAGGGAGATGTGCACAGACATTGACACTAAAGAACCGGAGCATCCATGCAAGGCCAACATTGAGAACAAGGCCGTAGCTGAGAAGTACTGCAGCAAGCTGAAGAGTAAAGTCTTTGAAGGTAAGTGTAACATTTTGTGTTATTATTATTATTATTTTTTCTTGTACTTATGTGCCTATATTAAGTGTGACAAGAGAAATTTTAGGAAAAAATTTACACAATCTTAACTAATATTAGGTATAAATGCGAAAGTAACTCTGTATATCTGTCTGTCTTTTCTTCACACCTAAACTACTGAACCTATTTGAATAAAATAATAGGGCAATACCTAGTTATAAGTACATAGACTACGTCAAAGAAATAAATTTCATATAATTTACTCAAATCGACGTAAATTTCCTTAGGTACCCGTTTTTTTACAAAAGATTGTATATTATTAAATACGAGTCTTTAGTGCTTTAACCATCTCTTCACGTTCAGAAGGGCTTTGTAAAACTCGTGTTAATATTCCAGCTTGCCACTGGTACGTGGACGTGGAGGCGTATTACGAGGCGTGCGTGTACGACATGTGCGCATGCGCCGGCGACGTGAGCCGCTGCCTGTGCCCCGTGCTCGGCGACTACGCCATGGCGTGCGCCAAAGCCGGCGTGCTCATACAGTGGCGGTACAACGTGCACGAGTGCGGTGAGACTTTCTTCATACTACTACCTACTCTCTTCATATTCTACGGACATTGAAAATTGAAAAATAAGTGCTTCATGTTATCACTGAGAAGAAAGAGAAGGCGTGAGCATTAATCACCTTTTTTCTCAATAGGCATTGGCGATTACTGACTTAAATTTGAAATTTTAAATCCATTTTTTTTAATAATAAATATAGTGAAACAGGCCTTTAAAGTAACTAAGATTTAAAGTATCAGTAATGAAATACCTCTCGCAATAACAATACAGGAGCTTAAGCGCTCTGGAGTTGGTCTATCAAGAGGTTCCGGTGTCCCTTATAGGTGTTGATGATAGAAAAAAACTCACACTCCCTAGTCTTTTTCCCAATAGTTAGACGCCTTTGAAGGTTTCTTTCGCTAACAAAAAAAGGAGCTTAAGCTGAATGTATAGTACATAACTAAATGTATGTATAGTACATACAACGTACGTACGTACGTACAAAATAGATATGCATATAGTGAAACATGTCCTTAAAGTTACTTAGGTTTAAAAAATATAATTAAAAAACTGTCACAATAATAAGACAGGAGTTTAAGGCCAGTGTAATATTGCAGAGCTACAGTGCAGCGGGGGCCAGCAGTACACTGTATGCGCGGACAGCTGTCTGCGCAAGTGCAGCGACATGGCGCTCGCCGCCAGCGGCGACTGCCGCCCTTGCTGCGTCGAGGGATGCGCTTGCCCGCCTGGACAGGTACAACACCATCATCATCATCATCATTAGCCTCAGCCATCATATCCACTGGGTTCTAAACCAATTTTACCCATTTAAAACTACTAAATTGATTTTATAGTCTGCCAGTCTGTTCGCCAGTGAAGCTAGGCTAAAAAAGTCAATTGCGTATATTTTTCGAAAACAAAGCTTAGAGAGACAGAGACAGGCAAAAATAAAATACCAACTTTAAATCACGAAATACAGATTTAACGATAAATCTAAATAATATATTCCTATGAGTAAAAAAGGTTTATTAAAATCGGTTCAATATAATCCCATGATTCTGAGTTGAAAATAATATGACAACAAAAAACAAACGCATTGAAAATACTTAGGTAATAACATATTTTGCAGATTCTTTTTTATCATTATCCTAAAAAAAAAGTTGCCCACCCTAGGATTTTGTCCTGTGTCGCGGGTGCGGTTACAAACATACAATTTCACGTACACATGACACCCAGACCCGGAACAACAATATGTGGATCACACAAAGAGTTGTTCCGTGCGTGAATCGAACCCGCGACACGTTGCGGCACACAAGCCAAGCCACCGCGCCAACTGTGCAGTCTAGAAATACTGTAGTTTTCAACTAGTCAAATTCAAAACTTTTATCCAAATGTCAAAAACGATACTGTTCTATGAAATTTGTATGAAACACTGAGTTATGACGTCATTGTTTTTTTGCGTCAAATAGCTTAATTATTTCTTAAAAATTAGCGATTCGATCGATGTATGAATAAAAATATAGTTATTTTTCAATATTTTATTGTATTGAAACGTGGAAATAATTTATTTTTGACCTAGGAAACTTCCCAATTATACTTGTATAACGTTATGGTAACATCAATCATGTTTCTAATGCAATGTACTTACAATATTATTGATTTATGTCAATTTTCAGCTGCTTGATGACAACAACGTTTGCGTTCCGACCGGCCTGTGTCCCTGCTACCACAAGGGGTTGCAGTTCAACGCTGGGTACAAAGAAGTTAGGGCCGGCAGGAGAGAGAGAGAGCTCTGGTTAGTATGTCCTCTCTTTCTAACAGTCATGAAAGGCTGAAAATGCTTGGGTTTGCGGGCTTAATGCCAATAATTGATGATATTAAACAATGAAAAATATACCTTAAATCAGTGATCAAATTACCTATACCTACGATTAACGTACATTATCGCGATAATTAATAGCATTTCCCGTTAGTGTGGCCCAAGCATTACAAATCAATACTCTACTCTATAGCCCTACCAAACTACTTATGCAGTTTAACTGTGAGATTTTTGTGCCTCAAACATAAAAATATCGATGTATGTGCAAAATTGCATAATCGGGTATTACCTATTTAGTTTTAAAGTAAACAGCTGAAGTTTTCTAAACGTTCAATACAAATCAGTAGATTTCCTAACTTGTAATAGGTATGTTTAAAAAATTCCAACAGAATATAAGTATATTAAGCAAAAACAAATACCTATTTAATCCCGCAAAAAAAAACTATATAAACCTGCGAAAAATTTCCTCCTTTAAATAAGCAAGTTATTTTCTGCAACACATGCCAATATTTTATTTACATAATTTATTTAACATTATTATTTTACACACACTGATACCTATATCTGCATCTATTATTGCAGATATTTTTATTTTTATTGACATTTTACATCAACTACATAGGTATTATATTTATACGCCTATTACATAGGAATCGTTACATATAGGTAACTGGAAAAAATATGTGTTAATTAATAAAAATGATGACTTAATCACTCAACGGGATTCTATTCGGATTTGCTCGTTCTTCACCATCAGAATCTATACTTTGGAACGAGCAAATTGCTTCACTGAGAAGACTGACCGACAGACTGACACTTAATATTCAAATGCGCCTTTAAGGATTTAAATCGGAATAGATAATTTTGAGTCTTTGATTTTGTGATAGGTTGTGTGATTTTTGAGATAGGGAAATTATCGTAGGACTCCTCAAGCCCTAGGCATGCCGTGAGGGAATGTCAAGATGTTTACTGTCTAAAACTACTCTGATCCTTCTACAGTTTCGAGCCATATATCTATTCTGGTTGACAAGATATAATATTATTCCTAATATATTACGTATTGGCGAAGTCAAATTAGAAAATTCTTAAAGGTTTAAAACTTAAAACTTAAAACTTTTAAAACTTAAAACTTTTAAAGGTAGAAAAAATGTAGAAAGAAGAAAGAAATACAAAATTAAAAGAAGAATTGGAGGCGCCGGGTATCGATCCCGGTACCTCTCGCATGCTAAGCGAGCGCTCTACCATCTGAGCTACGCCCCCTGTTGAGAAATGTAACGAATTTATAAACTAGAATAAAGTTTATTGCGTAAATAAATTCAAGTGCGTACTAGTTGTTTGGTAACCCTTTTACTTGCATACAAACCTAATTGCATAATTTAATTCAAGGCACAAAACGTGTTTGGACGGTAGAAGTAGTTCAATCACTTATTTGTATCGATTATTAGCCAAATAATCAAGTGGTTAACAGTGTTACTGTCGAGCGAGAGGTCGCTAGTTCGATTCCTGCCTCTGGAAATTTATTTTTTTAGCCCGAAACACATGCCGTAATGATTTTGCTTATCTATACTAATATTATAAAGAGGTAAAATTTGTAAGTTTGTATGTAGGGGGTAATCTTTGGAACCGCTGGTAGGATTTCCAAAATTCTTTTTTCTTCACTGATGGATAGCTATAATGTTCCTGAGTGCTATAGGCTATAAAACATCACGCTACGACTAAATGGAGCCGAGCAGCGGGTGAAACCGCGCGAGAGTCGCTAGTCTTTTAATATTCATACCGTTTCGTTGATTATCCCCCGGTTTCCGAAAGGCCGATCAATGTTAAAATCGATTTAATCTTTTGTCAAGACTTCTGATTGGTTGACTGAATTATCAACAACCAATCAGATGTCTTGACAAGAGATATAACAGGAGATTAGTTAATTTTAGCGTTGACAAGCCTTTTAGAAACCGGGTGTAAGTAGTTGCAAATGCGATCGCTATTTAGATAGAAATCGCATTAGGATTTAGGATTCGATTTTCGAACCGGAAAAAGTCAATGTCAAAAAGTTTATTCCACACTTTTAAACAAACTTTTAAGTGTAGGTACTTACTTACAATGTTGGTGTTACATAACAGCCTTTTACAAGCATTGCAATAATTATTAACCTAAATCAGCATTAATTCACTATTAAATACAATTATTCATCGATGTCACAGATATATAAATTCAATTAACATATTATTAAAAATATTCAGCAACAGACAAAAGATAAAAAAAATATTGTATTTTCAAAGTATACCATAGGTATCCTAAAGCATGTCTATAATTATCGATGCGACACAATAGAGGTTCCACTGAATAATTGAAATTCATAATTTATCAGCTAATAGCATCATAATTAGTTTTTAAAACAGGCCTTAAATAAGTTCTTACACCCTTGTATTTAAATAATTGCACAGTACATGCGTGGGAGCTCGCTGGGACTGTAAGCCGGCGACCCCAATGGACATCCAGAACTACCCGCCGGCTGAAGACCTGCGCTCCAACTGCAGCGCCACCAACAACATGGAGTTCACCACCTGCGAGATTGCTGAGCCACTTACTTGCAAGGTAAGGACTGTTCAGCTTAACCCGTAGTATGCCGATGCGCGGATCCACGCAACACACAATGTGTTTTTTTTCTGGTATAGTTCGGCAAACGAGCAGGCGGATCGGATGGTAAGCAATCAGCGCCGCCCATGAATACCTGCAACATCAAAGGAGTTGTCTTCGAGTGCGATGCCGGCCTTTTAGGCATAAAGGTTTACGATATTGAAGGATTGGGAAGGGATGGGGGATGGTGAGGTTTTGGGCCTCCGGTCCACTGACAAGTCGAAACACAACACAATGTGTTTTCTATTGTTTTCTATTGGTTGTCATATACCGGCAGACAAGAGGTTAAATCTGAGCATTAGTTGGACAAATTTAAGTTAGACCATGCCCGAATCTGTTCTTAATACGAAAGTAATTATTACAAAAAATAATCTCTATATCAGAAACATTATGTATTAAAGTGCAAATGGGCAACATTTTTATGGTATTTATTTTTCTTAACAAGAAAATTAGTTTTTGAATCACATATTTTTTATTGACGAATGATAATACTAACATCTTATCAAAGTAAAATGATATTGTCAAAGTTGGCGATGACAGTATATTCAGCTTCCAAACATGACCTAAATAAATAGGAAGGAATAGTATACCTACAGTAAAGAAAAGATACTTTTTGATATCACGTCTGCACCAATTTTTTTTAAAAATCTTTGTCCCGCTCTAAGATTTTATCCCATGTCGTGGGTGCATTTGTACAAAAATACAATGCAAACAATTTGTGGAGCACATTAAGAGTTGTTCCGTGCGAGAATCTAACCAGCAACACGATGCGTGGCAGCCAGTTGCCCAGCCACCGCGCTAACCGTGTAGTAATTTACCTAACTAGTCACAAAAATATATCTATTAAGTCATTTCTTGGCCCTTAAATTCTTCAGACAATCCAACACAAATTACATACGTAAATAATCATTTGACAGAACATGCATCTTCCGCCAACGTCGACGGCAGCTGAATGCCGTCCAGGCTGTCAATGCAAGAAAGGCTTCGTTCTGGACACCATGTCCAAGAAGTGTGTGGCTCCGACCGAGTGCCCCTGTCACCACGGCGGCAGGAGCTACCCTGATGGCCATACCATGCAGGAAGAGTGTAATAAATGGTCAGTATGCGTTTAGTTCATCTTATGGGAATGGCATCTAGTATAATAGCCGGACATTTAGCCACTGCACCGATTGATTTGAGTACCAGAGTTGCAGTGCATTTGGATTTATTTGGTTTTCGACTAAATGAAGTGAATATGTAAAGGAGTCGAAGATATTCTTTTTTTATGTGATAGGACGGGAAACTAACAGACGGATTACCTGATGGTAAGCAATCAGCGCTGCACATGGACACCCAGAGGAGTTACGAGTGCGTCGCTAACCTTTTGGGGATTAAGGATTAGGAGATTTTAGGATTGGAAGAGGGGAAGTATTGGGCCTCCGGTAACCTCTCTCACACGGCGAAACACAACGCTGTGATTTTTTACGCCGGTTTTCTGTAAAGCCGTATCACTCCAGTCAAGCCGACCTATTCCTGCCGAAGAATGGCTCTTCCACACTCATTAGGTAAAAACAATATTCATTAAAAAAGGTAGCTTAGCTTAGTAGATTCTTTTAGGTAGTACCCAACACTTTACATTGCTCTTAAAAACAAGAAAACTACAGTACAAAAGTGCAATTTTCTTTGAAATAAAGTACAAAAATTAGATTTGGAGGCGCCGGGTATCGATCCCGGTACCTCTCGCATGCTAAGCGAGCGCTCTACCATCTGAGCTACGCCCCCAGATACTTTGTAATTTCAAATAAGACAATACTTTGTGAATATTGTGTATTTATGTATGCGTATTGCGTACGTGCCTTTCACTTTCTTTCGAACAGCTCGCCGCCCGACCAGAACCAGGCCCGAGCGTACGGCGCGTAGCGTTCCGCGCGCGCCTCAAAGAGCCATTCGACCACCACAGATGGGGCCCTAAAGGGCTGATGTTCAGCCGGGGTTGCGGGGTAAGCGCAATGAGGCACCGCGACCTCGGCACAGAGCAGGAGAAGGAACAGGGGGGTTTTTAGTCAGTAAGAGTCTGACACTCCTTCCTGCCCGGCCCTGGGCGGGAGAAGTCATTTGATGATTTTCCCCTCACAAAAAAAAAAATAACCCCCCACCCTCAATCCTCAAATCCCCTATCCTTCATTGATTACACAAGCGCGTTGCCCACTTCTTGTAAATAACTCACAAGAAGTGGGCAACGCGTTTGGTTGATATGTGTCCATGGGCGGCTCTGATTGCTTACCACCAGGTCATCAGTATCCTGTCTGCTTACAGCCCTTGTAATCCGTCTAGTCCTTTAGACTATGAGTATGAGCACTACAATTCTATTTTTATTGTACAGTGAATGTAAAAGCGGCAAGTGGTCGTGTACGCAGCGTAAATGCGCCGGCATTTGTTCAGCATGGGGCGACTCACACGTGGTCACCTTTGACGGCACTGACTATGACTTCGAGGGCGTCTGTACTTATCTTCTGGCTAAAGGAGTTATGGACAGCAAGGATGGTTTCGATGTGGAGATCCAGGTGAGGTTTTGCCATTAACAATCTTAACTTAGTTATAAATACCTAAATGCTAGAATCTTCTGGTCTGTTTGCCTGATAAGGCTGCTTGTTCTCGCTGTTGATTTTGATGAACTATTATTAAATACTTATAAGGGTGTATAAGGCCATTAAAATTGTTAGAAGATTGTTAAAAAAATAAAACCATGTCATACGGTGCGATGTTTTAGTTAGAAGTTGTAAAGCAAGTTTGTTTCAACGCAACTAACGAAAATATTACTGTTTTTATCTTTCTAGAACGTACCATGCGGCACAACTGGTGCTACCTGCTCCAAATCAGTCACCCTGAAGGTCGGCAGTGGAAATGATGAGGAAATCGTCTCTCTCACCAAGGATTCTCCGCTCCCAGATATATCTAAACTAAAGAGGTATACAAGCATACTAGTATTATTTATAAATATTTTGAACATACACAATGTTTTCATAGATAAATAGACATGGTACGGTCATAATGTTGATCTCCTTAAACTTTTCTCTGAGAGATTCGCGACGACCTACATAAGTTATATAGCTCTGACGACACGCTTTTGTAATAAAGACTCAATCTCGGATGCCTGTCTCCGCAACAGAATTTATGGAATTCTGTTAAGTGACACGATGCTATGGAAGTAGCTGAAGTACACTAGTCCCGACGTCGGTAAGTTGTCGGATCTTCGATACAGCAAAATCTGCAGAGCTTTTAACATCATAAGCGCATTTATTTGAACACTTGATTGAGTTGTTATTTTTTTTCTTGTTATTTTTGTCAGCTTATTTTCGATTAGGGCGCCATCTAGTAGTCTATTGTATGATGAACTAATTTTAAAATGTATCCTTTAGAATAAAGATGCGTCTGGCTGGAGCCTACGTGTTCCTGGATGTGCCAACCCTGGGCATGAGCCTGCAATGGGACCGTGGCATGAGGGTCTACGTCAAGATTGAGTCCATGTGGCAAGGAAGGGTGAGTTCTAAATAAATAAGTACAAGCAAAACATATTTATTTACAAAAAAAACGACATTTAACTTTCGTTTTTTTCTTTTTTGTAAAAAATAACTTATTTTTCGGCTTACTCACGTAATAATTTGACGAGATACTCGACTAGTTTCAAGCCATGCTAGAACTCACATTCATGAGCAGCATTCAGCGACACGCGATGCGGCGACTGATATCTCGTCAAATTATTACGTGAGTAAGCCGAAAACATAATAATTGACATTTAACTTCTTAGACACAATTATTTTCTTAATTCGTTGCCCCTATCTAGAATTTCTCCTTTCACATCCTCAAACACAAGTCGCCTAGAATCGAAACAACACAAATTGTTGTTCCGGCTCTGGGTCCGATGTTTATATGAAATTGTATGTTTGTAAACGCACCTACGACACAGGAGAAAAGCCGAAAGTGGGGCAACGTTCTTTTAAACAAAAAAAAAATAACTAAATAATGTGTTGGTTCCAGGTGAAAGGTCTGTGCGGTAACTACAACGGAGACATGCGCGACGACTTCCAGACTCCCTCAGGAGGTGGTATGGCGGAGTCATCTGCCCTCATCTTTGCCGACTCCTGGAAACTCAAGCCGACATGTCCGAAACCACAACGTTTATTGGTATGTTTTCCATTTTATATGGACGTTTATGATATCATTTTGATTTTGATGTACGTTATCTAGGGCAAGGGTCTTGGAGTAAAGACTTGAACTGGATAAAGCAATTGAAGCTTTTTCAAATCACTATACCATGTTGCATTACAGTTTAAGATGGCAGCTATGGTAAATCCGAGAAACAGGCTAGACCTACATAGGCTGGTTCTGAATGACTTTCCGAGACTTACTAAGTATACTAAAAGCTGTTTGGCGATGTGTGTGAAAATATTCAATAAGTTACCATGTGAATAAAAAAAAATTAACAAACATTTATTTCAGTCCGAATTGTATAAGTTGTTAAATAAATGTAACTTCTATAATTTAAAATAATTCATGGAGCATACGTTTTAATATGCCATGTTAATTATTATGTTATATTAATTTTTAAATTTTGCATGCTTTTTTAGTGAAACAGGATTGTGCCTTTCATTATTATGTATAACACCACTTCTATACCGTGTTTTGTGCAAATAAAAAAATATACTTCCTTATACTTTCCTACTTAAAATGGGGTATTACTTGAACATATATGTCTCCATCACACTAAGTCATTGAACAGATAAAGCAGGTATAGCAACAAATGTTCCACACAGGATCACTGCAAGCAACGTCCCGAGCGGAAAGAATGGGCGTCGTCAGTATGCAGCAAGATGAAGCAGTTCCCGTTCACGCTGTGCCACGCGGAGGTGGCGCCGTCTGCGTACATTGAGCGCTGCGCGCGCGACGCCTGCGCCTGCGACGCGGGCGACGACTGTCAGTGCGCCTGCACCGCGCTCGCCGCATACGCGTACGCCTGCGCCGCCAGGGGCGTCTCCTTCAACTGGAGGACGCAGGAAACTTGCCGTGAGACTTTTTCAACTTTTTCAATATTTCGGGACGATTTTGATTTTTATTTTGGAATAGTCATAATAATCATTTGTGGAATAGATATAATATAATAATAATAATAGTCATTTGTGGAATAGAATAGTAAATTATTTGAAAATAACGACTACTACACTTAAAGCTCTACTAATTTCAAGCCTCAACGGGACTCTTACCTATTCATGTGTTGATTGTCACAAGTGCACTACTTACTGTCACACATATATTTATCGAAATAATCGAATGAACAGTTGTCATTTTTGTCCTAATTGTTGTAGCATTTAGTCAGTTGCTTCTTGTATGTAGGTAGTTGATCCCTTTAATCGTAATAAGAATTAAAATATTTTGTTTCTTTCCCAGCAATGCAATGTGACGAGGAATGCTCGAATTATGACGCGTGCCTCCCGGCGTGCCCGTTGGAGACATGCGACAACACCCTGTACTATGCTGACATGAAGACCAGCTGCGAACAGGAGACTTGTATTGAAGGTAACAAAGACAATTATTAAAGTTTTTTTTTTTGTGATAGGTCGGCAAACGAGCAGACGGATTACCTGATGGTAAGCAATCGGCGCCGCCTATGGACACTCGCAGGCATCACCAAACGAGTTACGAACGCGTCGCCGATTTTTTAGGGGATAATGGGATATTTGAATCGGGTAGGGATAGGAAGAGGCGAGGTATTAGGCCTCCGGTGACCTCACTCATATGGCGAAATACAATGACGGTATGGTTGTTTCACGTCGGTTTTGTGTGAGGCCGTGGTATCACTCCGGTCGAGCTGACTAATTCGTGGGAGCATGGATCTCCCACAATTTATGTTCATGTTAGAAACATATTATGTGGTCTTATACAAATCCTAATGAATCTCATCTTTCCATAGGCTGCAAACCGAAGAAGTCATGTCCAGAAGGTCAAGTTTACAAGAACAGTACTCACAAGGAGTGCGTACCGCGCGCCAAGTGTAAGCCAGTGTGCATGGTACTGGAGGACGGCCGAGAGGTCGCGGAGGGAGAAGTCATCGAGGAGGACGCCTGTCATACCTGCCGGTGTTCAAAGAAACAGAAGATCTGTACTGGACAACCTTGTAGCACTACTGTTGAAACTGTAAGTGTAAAGAGATGGACTTCTGAGTTTGTTTCGGTGTTTCTTTTCAGATAAGTCAGATAGGAAATGCCGGCTTCATTTTTTACTTTTATTTCAGCCTTTGTTGCTGATTCTAAATAATTAATTAGTTAATCAAATGTAGAAACGTACACGCATTAGTTTGCCCGGTATCCATCCAGCTTGCAGCTGCTTCCGTTTTTCTTTGTCTCTATCTTATCTTAGCCAGGTAGCCTGTCCTATAAGTCTTAGGTCATCCATTCACCGTTTTGCTAAGAGGCAGAAATCCTCTTTTTCATCTGCCTCTGCCATTTTACCATCGCGTATTTATGATTTTCCTATATGATAACCTAACACAAACGGCGAAACACAACGCTGTGGTTGTTTTTCACCGATTTTCCGTGGTATCACTCCGGTCGAGCCGACCCATTCGCGTCGAAGCATGACTCTCCCTCATTGTAACTTTAGCAGCAACAATTTTTATTGTAACTTTACCTTTATATTAGAGTATCTATTGCTTATTTATTTAATCCCAGCCACGCCAAGATACTACACCGAAACCCCACGATGAGCCGCTGAAGTGTGTGACCGGCTGGACCAACTGGATCAACAGAGGGGAGCCGGAGATCGGTCCACATGGAGAGTCCATCGACAACGAACCACTGCCACGACCTAATGAACTGGTGACTATTCTATTTTTTTTACCCTGCGGCAAATTGAAATTGTGTATTTTTTTCTTTATGCTATATGTCGGCAAACGAGCAGACGGATTACCTGATGGTGAGCAATCGGCGCCACTCATAGACACCCTCAACACCAAAGGAGTTACGAGTACGTCGCCGGCCTTTTGGGGATAAGGGTTGTGGATATAAGGATCGGGAAGGGATACGGGAAGAGGGGCCTCCGGTAACCTTTCTAACACGGCGAAACACAACGCTGTATCTTCATAAGGGTGCCTTTCAGACGTTAACTAATGCATTAAGAAAAAGAAACCCTTTTCGTTTTCTTAGTTTTGTTTTCTAGGTTTCTTTTAACCCATCCAGTGGTATTTAATTGCCTAAAAGAACCAGTAGACCATCACAGATGGGACCGCAGATGGAGCCGATGTTTAGGTTGGTCTTTTGAGAAGACCACCACAGTGGGGCTTAACAGAGCTGATGTTTAGCAGGGTTTGCTTGGCAAGTGCAATAAAGTACTGCGGTCTCGGAATGGAGCAAGAGAAGAAACGGAGGGTTTTAGTCAGTAAGAGTCTGACACTCCCTCTCGTCTCACCCTGGGCGGGAGATAAAAAAATGTCTCTTATCAAAACCAATTAAACAATCAACCAAAAAAATATACCTGTAACTATTTTTCGGTCGGCCAACGAGCTAACGGATTACCTGATGGTAAGCAATCAGCGTCGCCCATGGACACCCGCAACGACAGAGGAGTTACGAGTGCGTTGTCGACCTTTTGGGGAAAAAGGGATTTGTAGATTTTGGGAAAGGGAACGGATTGGGGTGGGGGAAGGATTGCACCTCCGGTAACCTCAAAATACTAAACATAAATTGATTTATATTTGTAGACAATCGGCACTCCAATGTGTAAAGAACAAATGATGAAGAAGATAGAATGTCGCACGGTGGGAGACCACAAGAGTCCGAAGGAGACCGGCCTGGACGTGGAGTGCAGCCTAGAGCGAGGACTGTACTGCAAGGAGGTAGCTGGCAACAAGTGCCTGGACTTCGAGATCAGGGTCTACTGCGAGTGTGAGGGTGAGTGTGGAATGCGCGATCAGAAATTTATTTATTTAAAGCATTGACATTGAGCATTCTCTACCAGTCAACCTCTGGGTGATGCGGGGAATCCATAAATCCCGTTTAAGAATATACATGTTTATTCAGCTCTAGTAGATAGATATGTTCAGCTGTAGCAGGGGAAAAACGGGGTGGTTTTTTGGTGTATCTCCTACAGGACCTTTCTTTTCCAACTCTCATCCTTTCTTTAAATGCTGAAGTAAACCTTGTATTAAATATTGAATGTAATAGGTAATAGTAGACTGAATAATTCATAATAATATATGTGCAGAACCATCTCTATGCGAGAACTCGGTCCGTCCCAACGAGCCTCACCCGTCGGACTGCACGAAGTTCTACGAGTGTGCGCCGGACGGTCCCGTGCTGAAGTCGTGCGGTCCCGGGACCATGTACAACAATGTCACCATGATCTGCGACTGGCCCGACAGCGTGGCCCTCGTCAGGCCCGACTGTGGCGGTACCACTCCCGGTAAGTGCATATATTTTTTATAACCAAGCTAGACATCTATTATAAATGCGAAAGTAACGATTTTTGGATGTTTTTTACTCAATCATGCCAAAACGGCTGAACGGATCTGAATGAAATTTAGTACAGGCATAGGATACAGACCGGAATAGGACATAGGCTACTTTTTATCTACATACCACGGAAGCGGAAGCTAGTAATTTATATATGTACTAGCGGCTCGCCTCTGCTTCGCACGGATTGGCTTATTCAACCGGTTGCTATTTTCAAATGTTCATCTCTACTTTTATAAATTTACCTTTCATGAAAACATTCTCCTGACAATAACGACAAAATAAGAATTTGTAAATGGATCCGGGCGTTGTTGAGTTGTGCGCTTACCAACACATTGCACGATTGATTTTTATATTATAGTTTTATTTACTTATTTTAATAGTATTATTCAATTCGCACGTATATAGGCACCTACATAAGTAAAAGAATTATAAAACAAATTGTTTACTTACAATAATATTGCTGTATTCTATCTCACAAAACTAATCACTCCGACGACAAAATAAATTGTTTAGTTACTTTTTAATTGTTTAATAACTATGGATCCTCAATTAATTATTATTGACATTTCTTAGGTGCTGTCTCCACTACAACAACTCTTGCATCAACATCAACAACAACAGGTAGTTACCTAATGTTCTTAATGATATCTCTCTAAATACTGATATTGTTAAATCGTGCAGGATATGATCGAATCATTTGCTTTTCAATATACAGAGTAACAAGACGATTATTGCTTAAGCATTCTTGAACTAACAGACCTTGGGGAGGTCTATGATGATGAGTACAAAAAGAGCATATAAAAAATAAATATAAATAGGTGGGCCATGTACCAAGCTGTTAAATTAGAAAGAAAAGAGAGAAAGAAAGAAAAAACATTTATTCGGTACAACACCGGCACAAGCTATTACAATGCAAACAAAAATTACGCTCTCATTTTGTTTTAAATTAATAGACTCCTTTAAACACATAAATTATACCTATTTAAAACTATATGTCAGTCATTGTTCTGCTTGCAAACCGTAACGAAAATTCCAAAGGCTTGCTTTTAACAGCATTTTTCCCTTTACTTTTCTAAAATATTCTTTTGGAAAAACCTTTTTGTGGCTGTAACAAAATTAATTAAAAATATTATGTACGTAGCTACAGTAAAACTGGTCCAGGTTTAATGTTTTTAGTTGTAACTACGAAAACGAACACAACTGCGATTTCTTTTAATTTTGATATATTATACATAGTACATATGATCGGTATAATTAAATTTATATTGTTATGAAATTGTTAATATGGTTGTACTAGTAAAATTAACTCCAATATTAAACTTGATTTTCTGTTCGTCCACTAGTAGCACCGCAGTCGACGCTGTCGACAGTGGCGCCGTGCCCGGCCGGGCAGGAATACTCGTCCTGCGCGTACCGCTGCGACAGACTCTGCGACTACTTCCGCAGAGTTCTCGTACAAAAAGGACGATGTGTTGGAGAGGTAATTTCTTATTACAGCAAAACTTATGTATCGCCGTGTGAGTGAGGTTACTAAAGCCCAATCATTCCCCTCCTCCAATCCCTAAATCTCCGATTCCCTAATCCGCAAAAGGTCGGCAACACACTCGTAACTCCTCTGTTGCGGGTGGCGCTGTTTGCTTACCATCAGGTAATCCGTCAGGGATTGGGGAGGGGAAGGATTGGGCCTCCGATAACCCTACTCACTCGGCAAAACACAACGTTGCCTGTGCAGATTTTGGTTTTAAATTTAATAAGTAAATACCTAATAATTATTTTCGTACAGGTCTGCGTAGAAGGTTGCGTCAGTAAGAAGTGCCCGCCTGACTCCTACTGGAGAGACGAGAAGACCTGCGTGCCACGCAAGGATTGCACCTGTTTCGCCGACAATAAGATCATTAAGGTATGATCCTACCCGACAATTAAATCATCATCATCATCATCAGCCTATAAGTGCCTACTGCTAAACAAAGGCCTCTTCTCATACGGAGAAGGTTAGAGCATTAATCACCACGCTTGGTCAATGCGGGTTGTCGATTTCAAACTTATAATTAGAAATTATAAGTCCAGGTTTCCTCATGATGTTTACCTTCACCTTATGTCAGTGGTGTCTAAATAATCATAGAAAGTACATATAACTTGGAAAAAGTCACATTGGTACTTCCTAAGTTTCGAACCCTAGTTGTCGAACATTATATACATGAGAAGCGGGCTCCTTAACCTTCGGGCCACCACGACAATCAAATGTTAACTATTATTATTTTCGCTATGCTTGTAGGTAGTTGTAAGTGTTAAGATTGGAGGCAGTTCCATTTCAAATGGTATCTCTCGCCCTGGATGAGGCGAAAGGGAGGGTCATACTATTAATGACTAAAAATCCCTACTCTTGGCCGATGCCGTAGTTCATTTTTATTCTTCGTTTAGTCCAACTTAATCAAGAAACAAAATATCTTGCCATTATCAATTATTATTAACTTTACCCACTTTTCCCCCTACAGCCGGGTGGCGTAGTGGCAGACGGATGCATCAAATGCCAATGCCTAAACAACGAGATGCACTGCGACTCCAGCGAATGCGTCATCGTAAGCACACAAGTACAAGGCTCCACGCACGAACCGATCATCGAACCCCACATAGTGCCTTCGACTACTACGACCAGCACAACTACGACTACTGCGAAACCGACTACTGTTGAAAAAGTGACATCGCCGCCTCCTGAATGCTCGAAAGAAAAGTGAGTGTTATTTTTTCCCGTACGTCGTATACCAACTGCCTACTATACGATTTAATAATGTATTAGAGTTGTGCTGAGGTGCACAGTTATAATATACTAGCTACCCTCACGCGGTTTCACCCGCTGCTCAGCTCCATTTGATCGTAGCGTGATGTTTTATTTTATAGCCTATAGCACTCAGAAATATTGTAGCTATCTAGCGGTTCCAAAGATTACCCCCTACATACAAACTTACAAATTTTACCTCTTTATAATATTAGCATAGATAAAGTTGTGTTTGCGCTGTTTACCGGAGTGAGGTTACCGGAGGCCCAATCCTTCCCCCTCCCTCCATCCTTACTAAAAACTAAATATTAATTAATCGTTGTTGTTATAGCTTAATGGACCTCTTGTGGGGAGACCAGCCCCTCCCTGACTCCGCATTTAGCGCCAGCTCCGTCGCCAGCGGACTGTTTGAACCGCAGTATGCCAAGCTCAACGGACACCCACTTGATGTCACTGGTAAACCAATATTAAACTAATGTTTTGTAAAAAGTATAAACGGATAAAGATTTACCAGCTGTTTCGGTTAATTTTTACATCCATGTGTAGATGGGACTGACTGCACGGTTAATGGTGTGGCTGGACAACCGGCTGACGTGCAACTTGTCGCGGGTTTGATTCCCGCACGGAACAACTCTTTGTGTCAGCCACAAGTTGTTCTTCTAGACACAGAAGAAAATCCTTATGTGGGGCAAAGGTTTCTTAAATAAAGGCAAACACAAAAAGATTAGCAATAAGCTCGCTCCTTATAAAAATTTGTCGCATAACATTTTAAGATATATTCACGATTCACAACTTAATTAGTATGTCCTATGATAGTTTAACGATACACTATTATATATGTATCCCTAGCTGGTAGTTGGAATCCAGCAACTCAAGACCAGAAACAGTACATCCAAGTGGAATTGCCTCGTCGGGAACCGATCTTCGGAGTGAAGATGCAGGGCAGCCCTCTCTTCGACCAGTACGTCACCAGCTACGAAGTCTTGTACGGTGACAGTAATGATTCACTGGAAGTCATCAAAGGACCTGACGGGAAACCGAAGGTATGTGCTGATGATCAATCTCAATCTTACTAAATTGTAGGATTTTTTTATGGGATAAGTCGGCAAACGAGCTGACGCATTTCCTGATGGTAAGCAATCAGCGCCGCCCATGGACGCCCGCAACACCAAAGGAGTTACGAGTTACCAAAGGATCTGAATGTTGGGACAGAGATACATTCATTATGGTTAGCCTGGAATAACCCGTATGGTACTTTATACACTGGTACTAAGAGCGAAGTTGGAAGAAACGAATAGTGTTATGAACTAGTTATAGCCAGTTCTAACCTATGTATTGAACGATTCCTCTATCTGCTAAAATATATGGAAAAGATTTTGATATCATTATTACGTCATCTGGAATCTGCAGTCACGCCTGGTGCTTACCAAATTTTTCAAATATGGAGGTTTAATATCCTTCAATTAGAAAGGCAGATTAAATATCAATTCGTAACTAAAATCCAACCTTTCATATAGGTATTCAAAGGACCTTCAGACAGCCGTACTCCAGAGTCACAATGGCTGGAACCGCCAGTCGAAGCAAAGGTCATTCGCATACACCCTCTCACATGGCACGAAGAGATATCTATACGGTTCGAACTAGTCGGATGTAGTGAAGCAACGACTACCGCCTTTGCCTCTACGGGTACTACGCCGACTCTCCCGACTTCACCAACTGTTCCGACTACGAAGACTACGCCGACTATTCCAACTACGCCGACTACGCCAAGTCCTTCTACGAAGACGACAATAGCTGCTCCTTTGATTATCCCGAGCACCGTGTCACCGCCGCCTCTATGTAACTCGAATAGGTAAGACTTTTTTACCTGTGTTTGTTCAATTTTAGTTCGTTTACTGTATTACTGTTTATCGGTATAAGTTAGTAGTAAGGTAATTAGTGTTTTTAAATGGGACTAGCTACTCTCACGCGGTTTCACCCGCTGCTCAGCTGCATTTGATCGTAGCGTGATGTTTTATAACCTATAGCACTCAGGGAACCTTGTAGCTATCTATCAGTGAAAGAATTTTGGCAATCCGACCAGGCAGTTGTTCTAAAAATTACCCCCTACATACAAACTTACAAATTTTACTCCTTTATAATATTAGTATATATAACGTTATCTGGCGACAGGGTCGCAAAGGGGCAAAGCCTTTCTTTAAATTAAAAAAGAAACATTTATCGGAAAGTACTTACTTAGCTTTTTTGAATTGGACACCAGTTTTAGTAGCTTGTTAGCTAAACAGTAACTAATAAATAACTTTTATATAATGGAATAATCGGAAATTTTAAAGTTCCGACAACATCTTCATTTTTCAGTTCTAAGTACCTACACCTAGAACAAAATATTGATAGGATTTAATATTTAAAAATGTTCAAATATCGCTAGGTACATAAAGTAGCTACGCTAATAAAATTATTGTAAATTGTTCGTTGAAAAATGTAAACCAAAATGAATATTACAATAAAAAACAAATTATAAAAACAAGTGGGATCATTATGTTTTTTTTTTTAACAGCTACTTGGACCTGATGTGGGGCGACCAGCCCCTCCCTGACTCCGCATTCAGCGCCAGCTCCGTCGCCAGCGGACTGTTTGAACCGCAGTATGCCAAGCTCAACGGACACCCACTTGATGTCACTGGTAAGCCAATATTAAATGTACTTAATAGTTTTAAAAATTACTAAAAAAAACTATTCAAACGCGGCTTATATGTTTATGGTACGCAATCGATGCCCCTCGTCGTCCATCCGCGGATATTGAGGATTTACTAGTGCGTTGCCGGACTTTTGAGAGTTTGAAGAGGATATGTTACCTATACTTTGAAAATTATATTTAGAACTACAGATTTTTAACATCAGGATGCAGATGCAAAAAGTTATTTTTGTAATACTTAATAGAAAAAGTCGGATTTTATTGTCAAAAAAATAATAATTTTCTGTACCAAATAAATAAAGTAGGGATATTTTTCATAGTATGATACTTACATAAAGCCGTTCATATTTAAATGTACACAATATACCTAATCTGTATCAGCTATTTTAAAAAGTACAAAACTCTAGTCTATTATTTTTGGATCTGTGCCATTTCATTATTATTAGCACAACAATAAGAACTGGGTTGACAATTTAGCTTCGAATGCACAAGCCTCGGTAGCGCAGTAGGTAGCGCGTAAGTCTCATAATCTTAAGGTCGTGAGTTCGATCCTCACCCGGGGCATATCTTTTTGTTTGTAACATTTCAATGTTACTTTTCTTGTTTCAAAATTTAGGTTCTATAGATAGGAAGTAGAAAGATAGACTCTGTTTTTGTGAATTCTTGAATATCTAATAAACTTACAGAAGTACCAACGCTTTGCAAGCCATTTAAATAAAATTCGATTTATTTTTGCTTAAATGCCTCGTTATTTACCTACGCTGGTGCAGTTTATGAACTCCGTTGTACATTAGTAAAATAACTTTAAAATATATTTAGTTTTTGCTGTAACTAAAATGAGGGCACTCTACCTGTTGGGATAGATTTGCTAAATCGCGGTGTTAAAATTCTCCAATTTCAAATGACTTACACGACGATGTAACTTCAAAGCTTTTTAAAAGTATAGATTAAAATTGAGGGATTGGGCCTCCTATAACCTCACTTATACGTCAAAATACAAAGCCGTGGCTGTTTCACGGCCGTATTCTGTGAGACCGTGGTGTCACTCCGATCGAGCCGAACCATTCGTGCCGAAAAATGAATTTCCCACAGTTTGAATTCAATATTTCTTCTAGCTGGTAGTTGGAATCCGGCTATCCAGGACACCAACCAGTACATCCAAGTGGAGTTCCCTCGTCGGGAGCCGGTATACGGCGTGAAGATGCAGGGCAGCCCACTCTTCGACCAGTACGTCACTAGCTACAAGGTCCTGTACAGCGATGATGGAGTCTCCTTCTCCACTGTCAACGGACCTGATGGAAAGCCGAAGGTATGGTTTTGTAGATTTCTTAATAGTATAACTGGAAATAGAATCTATGTTTTTTTTTATTAGAAGTCTATTTGCAACGACTTTTCCGACTAGTTTATGACCATTGATTACTAGGCGTAAAAATAATTACGTCACCGCCTCAGAAACTAATTTCAAATTGACAGCTAATGCCTAGGTATTAATTTTAGTTATGTATTGTAATTATTTGTAATAGAAATGTTTTGTAGGCATTAAACTGGTATTTTCTAAATAATTTTATGTTTTAAATTGTATCACCAATACATAAGTTTGTAAGTTTTGTTAATATAATATATGTAAGGATTTAATTAATTATGGCCTATATTAGCTGCCTGAAATAAAGGAATAAATAAAAATATAATCCCAATATAATTATAAATGTGAGCGTTTGCGAGAATGTATAGATTAATGTTTGTTATTCTTTCACACAAAAACGGCTGGACCGATTTGTTTGAAATTTGGTACGTAAATAGATGATGCCCTGGATTAACACATAGGCTACTATTTTAATCAACATGCTACGCGGCAAAGCCGCGGACAAAGTCAGGCTTGGAAGCCAGTATTATAATAATATATTAGTGTAACTATACTGAAAACCAAACTTCTTTATCCAGGTGTTCCGAGGTCCAGTAGAGCACAACGCAGTATCGCAACAAATGCTGGAGCCTCCCGTCGAGGCCAAGGTGTACCGCATCCAGCCTCTAACGTGGCACGAGGAGATCTCGATCAGGTTCGAGCTCATCGGCTGCAAGGAACCGTCCAACTCCATGGAGACCACTCTCACTACTATCGTTGTAAGTCGATTGATTGAATTACGAGACAAGCATTTGCAAATTTTAAAATGTTTCCACGCAACATTTGAAATTACTGCACGGTTGCCGCGGGGCAACAGGCTGCCGCGGGGCAACAGGCTGCCGCGCAACGTGCCGCGGGTTCGATTCCCGCACGGAACAACTCTTTGTGTGATCCACACATTGTTGTTCTGGTTCTGGGTGCGATGTGTATGTGAAATTGTATGTTTGTAAACGGACACACGACAAAGGAGAGCATCCTAGTGAAGGGTTTCCAAGGGCCCCAAAGTATTTTATAAATAAAATGCTTTTTGTGGACGCTCGATCATAGGTAGGATTTATAACAAGCTGGGGTCGTGGGTCAAGCGCAATAAGGTAATAGAGCTGAACAGGAGAAGAAACCTGGTGGATTTTAGTCAGTAAAAGTTTGACGCCGTCTCTCGCCATAGGCGACCCTGGGCGAAAGTCATTTGGCAACAATAGAGGATTTACGAGTGCGTTGCCTACCTTTTGGGGATTAGGGAGAAGATTAGGCCTCCGCTAACCTCATTCACACGACGAAACATAACGTTGAGTTTGTTTCACGTCGGTTTTCAGTGAGGCCGTGGTATCACTCCGGTCGAGCTGACCCATTCGCGCCGAAGCATAGCTCGCTCACACTTAGTATAGCTCTTAAAAAAAGGATTTGTAACAAAATTGTTTGAAAGTTATTTTATTATGCTATATTACATGTTAGAGTACCTAAAATACCTAAGATAATATTTTCCCCACAGCCTCGAGCTCCAGAATGCTTAGAACCACTAGGTCTTGGCGCTGATCTTCCTCTGGAGAGCATAGAAGTAAGCTCAAACAACGACGCGCGGCAGTACTTCAAGCTGGACGGAGACAGGGGCTGGAGGCCGCTATACAGTACACCTGGAGAATGGATCATGGTCAGTACCGCTGGTAGTTTTCTGCTAGGGTATTTTTATAACTATACAAAAAGGCCAAGCTGTGGTGCTTAGATCAAAAAATTCTTTTGATTCCATGGTTAGTATCTTGGGCACTTTTCTTCTAGAATATTTTCATGACTATACAATAAAATTGTAACAAATTTTTGTTCTAAGATCCTTCTGATGATTTTCTTAAGAATTTTTTTTTTGATTCTGTTAATGTTTTCTCCAATAAGTAGTGTCCTTCCTAACAAAGGCAATTTTAAATCAGAGTCTAAATCAAGTTATAGATACATTTGAAAATCAAATACAAAATAAATTTTGATAAAACTCCTTGCTCGTTCTAGAGAGTAGATTTCTAAGAGAAAAACAGTAAAGAAACTCTAAACCTGAGATGATCAAGGACAATAATCATAGACAATGAAAATTCAACCTAAACCTAACAACGTAAAGTTCAAAATCTAAAAACCTCTATCCAACTCATAAATTTTTTATCCGCAGTTCAACTTCACATCACCGCGTAATATAACGGGTATCAAGACGAAGGGTGGTCCAATGGGATGGGTCTCCACCTACAAGATCATGTACACTTCAGACCTATCCACCTTTAATCCTGTAGTGGACGATAAGGGGGACAAAGTATTCCCAGGCAACTTCGACAGGGATACTGAACAATTTGAAGAGTTCTACCCGCCCATACATGCGCAGTACTTGAAGGTGTTGCCTTTAACTTGGAAGGATAATATCGAGATGAGGATCGAGCCTATCGGATGCTTTGAGCCTTACCGTAAGTAGTTACTGTTACTTTATTCATTTATTTATGATTTATTTATTTATTAGGCTAGCCAACAGTTATGTATAGATACCAATGATATTATAAGTAAAAAGGTGTAGATAGGTTACAAGCGCTCAGCAAGTGATACATTAAATTGCTGGCTAATTAGCCACATTTTATTTCAATTTTGTCTCTTTTTCTCTCGCGATTGTTGAATAATGCCATCTCACTTTGACGTCTAAACATACGAATTGTTCATGTGTGTATCAGTGTGTCGTTTTTGAAAATCGAATTTTGTTTTGGTAACCTATCTACACCATTTAACTTATAATATCATTGTTATGTACATTGTAACATTTATAAGATACAGAAATATAAGAAAAATATTTGTAAGTGCAAAAACTACTTACTGGTTAACACAACCGCTCTCCCACACTTAAACTAGTAGCTACTCAACCGAAGACGGAATTGTTTATCTATTTAATAAAATATTCCCATTCCCGTCTCTAGCTGTAACAGAGAAGCTTCCAGAAGTAACGACCTCTCGCTACCGGGAGCCGCCACTCGAGCCGACGGATTGCGAGCTCTGTCCAGGAGTGCAGAAGCTGGAGGAGGCTAACAGCTGTGACTGCAAGCCTCCCTCCAAGTACTACGACGGAGAGAACTGCGTGACCAGGGACCAGTGTCCTTGCGTCGAGTCGTTCATGACGTAAGTGCTGGCATATTTATTATACAGTATATTAATGAGCAGAAGCATTCACTGTGTCCCGCTGAACCACAACAATTGTGTAGTTCCCAAGGTCAAAAATAAATTATTTCGACGTTTCAATACAATATAATATTGACAAATAACTAAGTATATTTTTAGTCATCGATCGATTGACACACTAAATAGATATTTTTAGCTGGGAGTCGGTAACAGTCTGACTCTCTCTCTCTCTCTCACAGACCTTTCCCTGGGCGCCAGAAGTCATTTGATGATTTTCCACTGACAAAAAAAGAACCCTAAATAATATGTTTGTATGCTACAGGTACCCAGTAGGCTCCACGTTCCGCGGCGCGAACTGTGATGAGTGCGTGTGTAAGCTGGGCGGTATAACCCACTGCCAGCCCGTCAAGGAGTGCGAGTGTTCACCTGTAAGTGCAAAAAGTTTATATTACACATCGGTCCATGTAGGAGACTCCACACAGCAAGTTTTAAGTGTATCTTATCAAACGATAGAATAATATACATCTCAGTTTTTAAAACTACCTATCACGAATTGTAAATTATGATGTAATATTTGTGATAAACACTGTAACAATATTCTTTCCTGTGCACTTTGAATCATAAGAATACCAATTGGGTGGTTTTCTAGATCAAAAATAAATTAATTTGTTTTTTTTTCAAAGTAATCACACTTTCATTCATAAGTTAGACGATTTGCTTTTTGAATATGCTGTTTGACATAAAAACATCACGATGTCATATGTTGTGATCGCATACAAAATTCATAGAAGTGTATCGCTTTGACATTTCAATAAAAGTATTGAATTTGACTTGAAATGAAATGTAGCACAACCTTCGAAGTAGTATCTTTCATTTCCTATTCATCATCATTTATTTCGTTACTCATTGTCGACATATTACCCTAATTCATCTCCAATTACCAATTATTGTTATATCAAAACTAACAACAACACATTGTCCCCAGAAATCTGTCAAACAGGTTTGTCAAAAACCTACTTCAGGCTCTGGTCTCTTACAATGTCAGTCTTATAGGTAATCACTTAAAGGACTATTGTGAAGACAAAATAAAATTATTTATTTATTTTATTCTTCCAGGATCTAGTACCAAAATTGTCACCATCGACATGTGAATGCACATGCGAACCATGCCCACCAGGAACAAAGATCTGCCCAACCAGCAAACTTTGCTTACCGCTGGATAAATGGTGCGATGGTCTCCAAGACTGCCCTGATGATGAGAAGGATTGTACGACGACCACCCCCAGCACTCCAAAGACAACGGTGGTGGAAAATGTGGTGGTCACCACTCAGTCCCCTGCCACCGTCGCCGCCGCCGTCACTACTGCTAAACGTGAGTGTTGATATTTGTTTAAGAAAAAAATGTCTTAGTTTATTACTAAGACATTTTTTTCTTAAACAGTCTTCTTTTAAGTTTATTTCTTTAAATTACATTATAATGGACTGCACGGTTGGCGCGGTGGCTGGGCAACTGGCTGCCGTGCGACGTGTCGCGGGTTCGATTCCCGCAGGGAACAACACCTTATGTGATTCCCATATTATTGTTTCGGGTCTGCGTGTCATGTGTATGTGAATGTTTGTAAATGCACTCACCACACAGGAGAATCCTAGTGTAGGGCAAAGTTTTATAAAAAATCTGTACGTACTTTTTTTTAATTATATGTAAATATATGGTAGTACAAGGTGCGATGTGTTTGGCGTATCCTCATGTATACAAATTATTTTTAATATTAATTATATAGGTATACACGTATCGAATAAAAAAAGTTTATTCATAGTATGATTTTCACATGGTGATATATCAAATAGGCGCGAGGTAAAAACTTGAAAATCGTAGGGGCATCAGGATTTACGTCGAAAATGAGACGCGACCACGCTCGGACGTTAATTGCCAGGTGCACTTGTAACCTGTTATAACTTTACAATTATGAATACAGTCCACTATTGAAAGTTAAAAAGTACCATCTTTTATTATACGACCTAAAAATGGTTCTCGGTTATTAGCCTTCTTGCCTAGCCAGTATCGAATGGCCTTATTCTTTATGGTTGTATCCTGTCTGGTACCTTTATTTTAGTTCTTCTAGATTTTTTTGTGTAGGTAACAGATAATTGGCAACATTTGAAGGAAAACATCATTACATGACTTTGACCTGACCTAAATGACTTTGTTCCTGACACGAATATAGGTACTCGAAACTACTAATAACTACAGTATTTTTATTCTACTTCAATAAATGAAAATCTTGATTAAATATCGTAAAAATCAATGCGTACGAACTGTGAATTGGCGTTGTATATGGTTTTAGGATACAGAGTCGTGGGGCGAGCACCTAAGCTCCAATCAAGAATATTAAAATTCGCAAGAAGGCCTCAGTCCCGCCCAAAACCCAAAAAGAAATCATCCAATAAATCTCACCACATAATAAATTCTAAAACGCGTGGTAAGAATTTATTTTTACCATGAACCGTGCTAAAAGTGACCTTAGTTCTTCTTCCTTTGAAAATAAAATATTTTGACTGTGTAGGTATACAATGAAAAATGGAAAATGCGAATAAAATTAAATAATAATTATGACCATTTTGATTTCAGACTTAAATATGACTTCTAAACAACTTTTTAACTGAAAAAATAACTAAGCTAACTATTTTTTCTAACTGCATAAGACTGTGCTTAATCTGTAATTTTTTTCCAGCTCTGGAATGCCCGAAGGTGGAATGTCCCCCAGGCTACACCGTGGTTTACACCTCAACGGATACAAGTTCCCCTCGATCCACGTATGGCTCAGCTTCTGAACTCCCTCCCCCAAGACCTAGATACTCGTACCAGAGGTACCAGAGGGGTTACTCCAAAGGCGGGTACTCTAAAGGCGGGTATTCTAAAGGCGGGTATTCTAAAGGCGGGTATTCTAAAGGCGGATACTCCAAAGGTGGATATGGTAAGAATATCTCTCTTTATCTGACTACTCCAGAAAAATCTATATGTTGTATTGGATTAATGATTTTGGATTTCTTTTCTAAAGATCTTAATTAAAACATACATAGATGTCGTATAGATACGACATCTACGTATGTTTGTAATTGTAAAAAAAATTCAAAAGTTATAAAAAGTCTAGGAGGGAAAAAATCCTTGTGACAAGCGAAAGCGAAGATAAATAATTTAAGCGTTTATCACAGGACTGCCAGCACCACGTCCGAACCAAGCGTTCTCCTTGGACAAGCCAGACGTAACCTCAGCTACCAAGACACCGGCCCCCAAGCAAGAGTGTGCGCAATTCAAGTGCATCCCCAAACTCCCCCCCTACCGCCCCGGGGGAGGAGTTACCCCACCCCCCGTCTGCTCCGTCGTCAACTGTCCCCCTGGCTACTCCCTGAGACTAGAAAGAACTGCTTCAGGATCCAACAAATGTCCTCAGTAAGTGTAGTTATATTGCAATTAAAATAGCCTAGAAAATGATGCATACTGCATTTTTGCAGCAGAGTCCTCAAATACTTGAATAATTTAGTGATAGATGTTTGTAGGCTAAATATATTAATGATTTTGCTTTGCAAATTTGGAGGTAAACGAATAACTGGGTCGTCAGAATACTACTTTCACTGAAGTACCAAGTCTCTCTTGACTTGATATAACAGGTGTACTAAGGAACCTCCAATGGTTCTGTTTTTTAACAACAGACATGTAAAGATCAACGACTGAATTCATATCTGTCTCATGTCTTCAAAAGAATTTCGACTTTATTTCAAAAGAAATAAGGTTGAATATCTATTAACGAGAGACAAATTCAGGTAGCTCTATTCTATGTAATAATAATATGTTTAGGTATGAATGCGTGCCTCCACCGGAACGTCCCGTGTACTGTAACGTTACGGGCCGTACGTTCAACACGTTCGATGGCGTCGAGTACAAGTATGACGCGTGCTTCCATATCCTGGCCCGCGAGAACAGATTCGATGCTTGGACTATACTCAGTAAGTAACTATAGTTCGTTCCATAATTAGAGACAACGATTTGACATTTCGAGTGTTGCATGTTTTTCCAATTCATAAATAGTGAAGTCCCGCGACCGGTATTGACCGAAAGACCGAAATTAAATTTTGGACTTCGTGCATTTTAAAAGCTTTATTATTTTTAGCTACTTTCCCTGGTACCTTCCTGTGCCCATACTAACTCCGTCGGGTTAAAATCACAATGGTAAGGAGGCAACCGTAAATTAGTGCCCACCTTTTAGCAGCCATCAGTCCACGACGTATCGTTCATAATTACTCTTCTATTTCCGGGAAATCTCCAACAGCTCGGCTTTCAGCATAAGTTCCTCAAATATAATGTTTTTCTTTTAGCCAGTCTTGGATTTGGCATTTTTATTTTAAATTATTATTATTAATTCCACTAAACTATAAAAACATCACCGCAACGTTGTTTTATTTTGCTCAGGGTATTTTATAAAAAAACGGTATCGGTATTTTATTTTAAACATCGTACTCGGGCCCATCACTATGTTAAAAAATCTGGCCACATTATTTTGTAGTTTGACATTTGCAGTTGTCAAATTGTTGTCTCTAATTATGGAACGAACTATACATCTACATTTCTTTATATGATACTAGCGACCTAGAGTAACCAGCTAGAGCTGGACCCAATTAATTCCAGATACAGACAAAAGAATGGCTTATTGTTGAATAACAGATTGCCATAGAAGCAGAAAAACGTAATAAAAAAAAACTAGCGACCCGACTTCACAAGGGTGGTCTGTTTAACGGATGTTATTATACATACTCGTATAAGCTTTTCTCTTCAATCACACTATCTGTTAAACAAACTGCAATAAAATCCGTTGTGTAGTTTTAAACATTTAAGCACATATAAGGATATAGGTACTAAGGGTGACAAAAATGCATGGAGAGCTTAAGGTCGATTATTGACTGACAGGTTTTGCATAACGCTACCATTGACAACTAGATGGCGCTGCTTTTAAATGAAAATAACCCTGCAAAGCTTGAATACTTTACACTGCAGAGACACACAATAAGGTTTTTAATGGTTAAAATAATAATTAAGAAACAATAATATATTTATATTCAAATACACATAAATTATGTTAATTTTCTCATTTCCGAGGACTTAATATAGCGCTATCTAAGTCAAGTAATGCAAACCAATTAAAAGATGGCGTCAATAATTAATAATAGACAATAATAAAAGTTATAAACTAACCCGCATTTTCTACATCATAAAAAATGCGATCGGTAGCTCGGATGAATAAGAATGATAGAAAAATGAAGTCGAAGGGCACCGGTTCAATTCCGGGTTATCAATTTTATATTCAGGTTTTTTAACAATGGTTTTTTTATATTTTTTATATAAAATCAATAATAATAATATATAAATAAAATATTTGACGTTTAATATTTATAAAAGATAACAAAAATAAATATATATATTATTTTAGAATAAAATTATATTAATAACTTTTATAATATGTGCTAACTATTAATGAAAAAGTAACATATTTTTCTTACAGATTAAGACTTATACCTACTAAGTTTAATTCTCATAAAGGATAACGAATAAAACTATTTTAGTGACATTATAATTTCAGACATTTATTTCTTAAAACATAATATTTTATTTCTTTCTTATATAGTGTATACCCTGACCTAATAACTTTTCATTTAACTGACACATTATTTAATACACTTTTTATAAGATTAATAAGTATTTTAAATCAAAATTGTGTTGTGCTAGTCATTTATTAGTTAGTTTTAAACAAATGTTATAATACGATTCTATATAATATGCAACCTTACTTCTGCAACTATTTTACCTCCCCATAAAATTTAAAATTTAGATTTAATTAAAGTATTGACTAAAGTGATTCATTTTGTGCATCATGTTATGACAAAGGCCCATAGCTTAAGTATTCGTTCCAGAACAAGGAAGAAATTGAAGCTAGACCTTAAATCAATAACATTTCTAAGACCGGGATATATATAGCATTCATTAGATATGGGACGAATTGTTTATAGTAATAATAAATAAATAATTTATTATTTTGCAATCAATAGCATCTGTAGATATTAATATTGCTTTTATTTTTATTTCTCATATTTAGTAAAACATTAAAATTATTACTGTAAATAACAGTTGCTGGTTATAAAGTAGTCAATAAATTTATCCTACTAACACTAAGCTTGAACATTTATCCATTAAATAAATTATAGCTACCCCGGTCTTGTAATTGCTTAATCCTATAGTCAACAATATCTTTTCTTCTAAGAACTAGTGTAGCCACCATTTTTATCCGTCCTATTTCTCCTATCTCGCTGGCCAAGGAATAATCCGTATGTCTGATTGCTGACTAAACACTTGCACAATTATGGAACATTACACATAGGACAATTGTCCTGCACGAACGTTATCACTAGCACATCTTCATGACGTCTTTCAGCACATCTATGTAGTTTTCACTGTTTGCATCACTGAAGATGACAATGCTCCAGTAATTTTCCTCATAACCTTGCCCCATAAGTTGAAGCTGGTCTGAGTCAATATCACGTCTTCTGCCAGATCCACTATGGTGCTCCAATGAACCCTCTTCTTGAAACAGCTTTAGGTATCCATAAAGTGGCAGTCTTTACCTGTAAGGGACGTGTGTATTTATTATTTTCATGTATCGATAACCATGGATAATAAAATAAATAACGAACGGTCATTTTAAAAGAATACTTACGTTTAAGCCAGTTTCTCTCGAAATTTCAGTATAATTTAAGCTTTGATTATGCAATGCTATTATTTGGGCCTTCGTAGCCATATCAATATTTGAACGCAAACTCATAATAAAAATAAATATTAAAAACTTGTTAAACAAATCGTAACTGAACTCGCTCAAATATAGTAAAGAATGTTATGATTGAACAAAAAGGTTTAATTTTTATGTAGTTAATATTAAATTACCCTCAACTGTTTTGAGATTTATGATCAGGTTATAGTTGCTAAACAACTTCAATATAATAAAGAGTAGGATAATTTCAATTTGTTTCAAGGTTACGCAATGGCCTAATGGCTAGTGGCTTCGGTAAATTTTATGCTACCGAGTTCGAATCCTGGTTATTGCATGCTTTGCTTTAAAAAGGTTTGGAATATCGTAGGATTAATTTGTGTAAAAATTTATTAAGTTAATAACTTTGTATCTGATAAAAACTATGAATGTATATATTTTTCAATAGCACTAGTATACTAGCGCCATCTATGTCATCCATGGTATATTATAAAGGCGATGAAACGCCGTACAAACGATTTTGATTTGGAATCCTCCATGCACTTATGACACTGATAGTACCTACAGAAAAGCGACTATAATAAAACAAAAATTAAATTGCATAAAGGCCATAAATGGCACTTTGGCATGTCAAATTTATATATAAAAAACTAGATGAAGCGGGTATTTTCCATGTGAATACTCTGAAAAAAAATGTACTGTGTAGTAAGGTCGGCAAACGAGCAGACAGATTACCTGATGGTAAGCAATCGACACCGCTCATGTACGCCCATAACACCAGAGGAGTTATCGAGTTACGAGTTGAGTATCGAGCCTTTTGGGGATTAGGGTTTCGAAGACTTAGCAGGGGAAGAACGATTGGGGCTCCGTTAACCCCACTTCACACAACGCTGTGGTTGTTTCACGCCTGTTTTCTGCGGTGCCGTGGTATCTGCCTCTGGTCTATCCGACTATTGTGTGGAGCTCATTGCATACCTAGCGGGATTAGCAACCATACTATATTTTATATTATGACGTTTTTGTTATGTGATAGGAGACCTGAGAGTAAGACCTGATGGATTACCTGATGGTAAGCAATCAGCGCCGCCCAAGACACCCGCAACTACAGTGGAGTTAAGAGTGCATTGCCGACCTTTTGGAGATTTAGGGTTTGAAGGATTAGGCCTCCAGTAATCTCACTCAGACGGCGAAATACAACGCTGTGGTGGTTTCACGTCGGTTTTCTGTGAGGCCGTAGTATCAATCCGGTCGAGCCGACCCATTCGTGCCGAAGCATGGCTCTCCCACTCTTAAGTTATTATAATTGTACTTATAATCTGCAATAACTCCTCATCTCACAGTCCGCAAGAAATGCCGCCTGGACGGATGTCAAAACGAACTCCTCATCCTCCAAGATGACCAGTTGATCCTAGTCAAGCCAAACATGATGATAGAGTATGACAACTACGAGTACACGGTGGAGCAGACCAGCAAGATCTGCTTCCAGAAGAACAGCTTCAACGTAGACCGGTTGGGCAACGGTATTGCCATTAAGTCCAGGAAGTACAACTTCACCGTTCTTTATACTTCTGAAGGAGATATTAAGATTGGGGTGAGTTTTTTTTACCTGCTACTAGATATTGCCGCGGTTTCACCGGCTGCAATCCTATTGGTCGTAGGATAATGGCATATAGCACTCAAGAACATTGTAGCTATCTATCAGTGCAATGAAATTTTGGAAAACCGACCAGCGGTTCCAAAGATTACCCCCTACATACAAACTTACTTTTACTTATAATATTAGTATAGACTAGCTGATTTGGGTCAGAATTAACCAATAAGTATCTTCTGAACTTTAAACCCTCCCTAGACTTTCAGTCTAATTTTCAAATCGAAAACATAATAGTGTAATTTATTATATTATATTTTTTATAATATTAAAGTTACACTTAAAAATTCTGTGACGTCGTGAGTGCTGCACGACTGTTCTCGCGGAAATTTTAGACGCCAAAACGAGCACTTGTGTGCGAGAGAGATAGCCTCATATAAATACCAGTAAAGAGTAAAAGAGAAGGAAAAGAAAGCGGAAGTCAGGACCGCCACTCTCAATTTAGTAAGCTTCAAATAACGGTCAAGTCTTTAAAGTTTGTTTAAAAAAAATAGAATAAATTCTCTAAAAAGGTACACAATCTCTCAAATTACTATTAACCTGTCTCAAGTTGCTAATAAACATATTTTGTTAATAAAATCCCAAAATATCTTTATCGTTAGGTGTTCAAAAGCTATATGGGCGCAGTGGATGGTCTTTGTGGAGCCTTCGACGGTGTACCAAACAACGATAGACGTCTACCTGACGGTAGACTGGCCACCAGTATCGATGAGTTTGGTCGTGCTTGGGCTAAACCTGGTCTGCCTCCCAACGCCTGCCAGACCAAGATCATTTCTGATGAGAAGCAGAGGAAGGCCTGGGCATTATGTGATGTTATAACGTAAGTATATACTGCAGATGATTATTGACAATGTACAAATATATTAAATAAGATTTTTTTTTTTCGTTTACTATTGAACTTACTTTTCCAGCACGTCGAATCTATAAAATTTGTTTGATTTTGAATCTTGTTCGAGTCCGAAGTGAGCGTCGAAGTGACGGGGAAATAAAATTTTAGAATGTCACTTTTAACGTCATCGCATACTTATATAACAAAATGTTGCTGTCAATTTAGTTCAACTCGCAAGTGTAGCGCTAGTGTACTACTACTCACGGCGGATTCAGATTCGAAGTTTAGAATGAAGTCTTACAGAATCACACTACTGTGATGACGAATTATTTTTTCTTGTAACCTAAAAAAATTAAGTAGGTACCTACTCTCAATTTTTTATTTCTTGATATGTTAATGATCATAAAAATATGAAATCTATCGATTTTAAGTTCTATTAGTTCTCGTTTCATTATTTTATACAAGCATAGTAAAAGCTTACTATAATTTCAATATTTTAACAATCAATAACCAAGTAATTTTCCTTAAAAAATCTAATTGAAGCCGCCTTGTTTTGGTCCACCAGCAAAGAGCCACTGTCTCAATGTGGACACGTGCTGAACCTGCACAAATGGCGCAACATCTGCCTCGAGAAGATCTGTGAGTGCTCCGAGCTTGTCGTCAACGGCACTCACAGAACTGAGGAGGAGTGTCGCTGTCTCTTGCTCGACCAGCTCGTCGCTGAGTGCCTCGCTGCCGACAAGAACGTGGACCTCGCCAACTGGAGGATGATTATGGATTGCCGTGAGTGTCTTTAATCATTAGCAATACCTAGAAAAAGCAAAGGTCTGGAAGGCGAATGATCTCATAAAAAAGTCACATACATGAAATCTTATATTGAAATCAGAAACGTTAATTAGGTACTTGTTTTATGGTTGTATTAGTAAAGTTGTTTTATCGATTAAGTTATCGATAAATATTTGTATAGTTCCTCCACACTAAACGTTACCTAATTAGGGGACTCTTATTTAGATAACCATTAGGACGGTGAAACAGAATTTAAGTTAAAGGATCATTTGAAGGGGTAAGTAGGTACCTAAGTTAAGGGGGCCTTATTTAGGCGACTTTTTAGGGGATGTTGGTGAAAACGGGCATTGACTAGAATATTTTCTAGAATCTATTTGACGGACCTATTTGACGGATTTATATTACAAATTATTATTTTTTTCCATTTATGTTAGCACAGTTGGACTAATACACAAAATACTTTCAAAGGTTTCGTGGTTAAAGGTGACATTAACGTTTGAGAATACTAAGTTTAATATTACTCTATCAAGCAAATATGTACCTGACTACAGCCTTTTCCCCCCACAGCGGCGGAATGCCCCCCTCCCCTAGTCCACTACGACTGCTACCGCAAGCAGTGCGAGCCGACATGCTCGGGCTTCGGTTTGGCGCGCTCCTGCCCTACGGAGGAGGGCCAGTGCTTCCCCGGCTGCTACTGCCCCGAGGGCAAGCTCAGGATGGGTGACCAATGTATACCACCCACTGACTGTCTTGACTGTGAGTACTTTTAATAAATTTTAATTTAATTTGCTATGTAGGTATGTAAGTATATATGTACATATGTGAAATGGAATCTTGCAACTACATTTCGAAGCATATATCTTCAACGGGTGTCGAAATTTTGTTTTGTATACAACTCCATCCAAAGGTTGTCTGGAAGAAATTGCTTTTAAGCGATAAGACCGCCAATTGTACCATCTTCTGTGTTTATTGTTTCCTGTTTTTTTTATCATTATGGTGTACAATAAAGAATATTCATTCATTCATTCATTCAATAAATTTACTCTGCACACAAATACTTAAATGGTCTTCTTCTTAAATGGATAGCCTCAGGACCAGCCTGACAATGTATTAAAACAACAATGTATTAAAACGTATTTTATAACTTAGGTATTATATGATGTTACTAACGTATTTTATTATTGATTTTTTAATTTGAAATAACTGTCCAATGCTGATTATAAAACCTCTTCCAAAGATGGATTTACCAAAATCTCCATGCAATGGTAACGGTTTGGAAATCACAGTTTTATTTAGGTGTCAATAAAATGCGGATTCCATTCGACGACTCATAAGACAACCGCACAAAAAAGAATTCTAACCAGACATTATCTTACAACAAAAAAAGTCTAACTTTTAAACTTTCGCGTTTCATATTAACAACATACTCATATTTATTTACGCGGGTATTAACGTAGAAAATTATTATTTGAATACCTTGGTAGGCTTGACGTTTCGACCCGGTTGCACAGGTCGTGGTCACAAGCTTGTCTATAATTTTCCGCGTTAATACCCGCTGTTAACAAAAAAAGTCTATTATTGATCGTAGACGGCAAAAGAATCTATAATATTCGGTACTATAACCCTCATCATCATCCAGGCGCCTGCAACGGAGTAGGAACACCAGCAAAATACGTGACCTTCGAAGGAGACGACCTTCCATTCCTCGGGAACTGCACGTACCTTGCGTCGAGGGACAGGAACGAGACAGGACAGCACAAGTACGAGGTCTACTCCACCAATGGACCTTGTGATGACAACGGTGACGTTGTTTGTACCAAGGTCGTTCACCTCGTGTATGAGAAGAAGGTCATCCATGTCAGCAAGAATGATGATACGAAGAAGGTGAGGTTTTTGTATTTTTATGAAAAAAAGTATGGTGAAATATACGGTTCTAATATTTTTTATGTAATAATTCGGCAAACGAGCAGACGGATTAACTGATGGTAAGCAATCACGCCGCCCATAGACACCAGCAACGGAGGAGAGATTATGGTTTTGGAGATTTAGGGATTGGGGAAGGATCGGGGGAGGGGAAGGATTAGGTCTCCGGTAACCTCAATCACACGGCGAAACACAAAGCTGTGGTTGTTTCACGCCGGTTTTCTGTGAGGCCGTGGTATCACTCCGGTCGAGCCGACCCTTTCGTGCCGAAGCATGGCTCTCCTACACTTTCTGATCATCAAGGGTACCTATTCCGAGTTTGCTTTATTATGTTTATAAAGTTAAGCGTTCTGATTGACCTCATCATTCGTTCGTTTGTGTTATTTCCTAAAGACAACATAAAAATAGACCTTATCTGCTCCACCTAAAGTTCACTGACTATTTATTGTAAGGAAGTCTCTGTAGGTAAGTCATCAGCAGCGTCCTTAAACAATCGTAAAACCAAAAATGAAGAAGATACGAAAATGGGTACCTACACCGAATTAAATTGAAATAACTTTAAAATAGTTTTTAAGTTTAGCGAGCTTATATTATTTACAAAAAACTCACTATATGCCCTTTGTTTTCAGTTGCTAACAACGATAGGTGATGAAGCTTTATTCAAGTATCCTGTGAAGAAGGACTGGGTGGTCATCAGCCAGGACAATGGGCAGGATGTCACCATACTGCTGCCTGACATACACGTCGAGGTAATAATTCATCATTCATCTAAACTTGTTGAACTTTTTTATGGAAAATGTAATAATAATTTACAGCAATCATTTGTTCAGAATTGACATATTATGAGGAAGGATTTTCGGCTTGAAAATTACTCACTTGAATTAATTGAGAAAAGCTTATTACCATTAGATGCCACTGCCTAAGCCTAGTAGAACTACTATCTACTAGTTCCAAGTCATAGCGGTATTCCTTTTTAAGTTATTTATAATTACATAGTATAAAACAAAGTCGCTTTCTATATCCATAAATCCCAGTGTATACTTAAATCTTTAAAACTAATCAACTAATTTTGATGCCGAATTTGCAAATTTTAATAGATAGAGTGATTGAAGAGGAATGTTTATATGTAGCTATAATAACATAAATTAAATAGTGGAAACATTTAGTATCAGCATTGAACCCGTGCGAAGCCGGAGCGAAGCCGAGCCAAGTCGCTAGTAGTAGGTAAACTAGTTGAGTTTTCTTTACTCACGTGAAGATGTCGTTGTTTTCAATAAACATTGGCTTCCGTCATAACGTAACCCATATAACCATACCGTTTCTTCTTCCTTGGCTTAAATCTGTATAAGCGATACTGAATATAACACATATTATTCCAACAGCTTACAGTTCTGCAAGCTAAGATGGAGTTCAGAGTGCGCGTGCCCTCGTACCTGTACGCCAACAAGACGGAGGGACTCTGCGGCGTCTGCGCAGGGTACCAAGAAGTACTGGTCACCAGTAATGGCACGGAGACTGATGATTTCGATGAGGTATGACGCTTGTTTTCTTAGAAGAAGAAAGAAAAGAAATGCTTAGTAATTTTTATATATATTTTTAAGCTTTTTGATTATAAACGGACATTTTGGGGTTATAGTTTTATGTGAACGAAAAAGAAATGAAATATAATGTTAGAAACAGCATGAATGTCTTAGAAAAGAGGTAGTGCTGTGAGCTACGCTTCATGGTATTGCATTTGCCGGTTTTTTACCGCATGATTGGGCAGAATTTTACATTATTTTTTTGAGAATAATGAGAATATACCAACGCTACAGAATTATTAATTTCACCACTTTATTATTTTAAAAACGTAATAAGTTTCGACTATTGGGTAAAAAAAAATAAAAAATCCTTTGCAAACAAGAGACTTGGTAATAAAACAAAACTTTAGACACTACCTAAATATTTTCTTCTCTCCTCTTTTTGGTGAAAATGGCGTCACATTAAGTATCTAAAATTTATTGAAACTTCTCCTCCAGTACGGCAAGAGTTGGCAAGCGTCTCCGTCAACCCTGAAGACGCTGGACATATCGGAGCAGGGCCAGTGCGAGGAGCCTCCCCCAACTCCCGAGTGCGTGCCCCCTCCCCCTGATTCTAACCCCTGCTACAACCTGTACAACGCTGACCGATTTGGAGCTGTAAGTTTTTGCTTTGTTTTGTCTATAAATAATAGTTCCTTGAAATAAATAATATGGAAAAAATCTATACCTAATAGGTCGAAAAGTTGATTTGAACGCGCTAATTTTCAAAAGTATCTACTGTTTCTTATCAAACAAGTAATATTTTTTGTGTTAGATAGTTTATTTGTCCAGGTAAGCTATTTAGACTATGAAACATCAAAATTCGAATTCATTTGCTTTTATACTATTTAACTATTCTATTAATGTAAGCCAACTAATTTTAAAAGGAATGATCGGCAGACATATTTCTGATAAAAGCCCCTGAACCAAATTTAATGGTGTCCAACAGGGATTTTGAAACATACATAATTATGCTTGTTTTATTAGGTACTCTTAGTAGGAGTGATTTTTAGATAGTAAGAAACTGGCTAATCCGCCCCTTGCCGCCTTGGCCATTTGATGATCCTCAAAAATGTCCTTGAACTGAATACTATTTCTACGTTACCTATTACAATAAAATTCCTAGGGATATAAAAAAAAATCTAGCGTTAAATATATTTGGTTTATCGTGTCCCCCCAGTGCCACGCCCTGGTAGAGCCCCAAGCGTTCGTGGAGGCGTGCGAGGCGGACCTTTGTGCTAACGCGACGGACTTCTGCGGCACCGCCGAGCGATATGTCGCCGAGTGTCGCCGCCAGGGGGTGTGTCTACCGCACTGGAGGACTGATCTCTGTGTCTATCCATGGTGAGTCACATTTTATATGATAGGTGTGAACGAACAAATATTTTTATGTGGTAAGTCGGCGCCGCCCATGGACACCAGATGAGTTACGAGTCCATTGCTGGCCTTTTGGGGATTGGGATGTCGGAGAATTTGGAATTGGGGAGGAAAGTGACCGTCCGGACGCCAGCCATTTCAGGTTAGGAATGAGGAATAATTGGGATCCCAATAAGCGAGGTACACAGTGAAATTCAACGCAAACATTGTTTCATGCCGCTTTCTGTGATACTGCGGTATAACTCCACTTGAAATAGCTTATAGTCTCGATGCAAAACAAAAAATCTGTAGGTACGATTAATTGACAACTCCAAATCCATTTGACCTGTTAGCCTAAATCTTCATAAATGAAGAAAAAAAATTTCTCTCTTAAAGATTTTGGCATTTTGAATATCATAAAGTTATAACCATCATGCCAGTCTAGATTCAATCCCTGTAACCCTGTTCTTTTATACCCCAGCGAGGAACCACTTGTATACCGCGCCTGTGTCAAGTGCGAGATGACGTGTGAGAACAGTGACGAGCTCACTAAGAACCCTGACAAATGCGATAAGCCAGCTGTTGAAGGATGCTTCTGTCCTGAAGGAAAGGTAACGTACAACAGGTTGATCTAGTGGTAATTTTATATTTATTTTAAGTTGTACAAAAGAAGTTATGCAAATTGGTTGTTTGTTCAGTCAAAAATAATTTATTTCCATTTTTAATATGTATACCTTATTCAATTTCATAGCAAATTTTGACTTTCCGGAAAAAGGTATATGTGTATAATCGTATTAATTATTAATTATTTTGTAATACACTTACCCTAATATCTCAGGTTATATTACAAAAGAAAATGTGGCATTGTTAGTAAAAAAAGCTAAATCCTGGTGAATTTTACCATCCAAACTATAATATCTGTCTGTTTGTGTTTTCTTTACTCCAAAACTACTGAACCGATTTGTCTGAAATTTGGTACACACATAGTTTGAAACTCGAGAACATAGGATAGTTTTTAAACCAAAAATCTCCAGAAATCAATATTTCACGCGAGCGAAGTCGCGGGCTAATAATAATATAAACGAAATCATAGGTGCGAGTGAACAACACGTGCATCGAACCGACGAAGTGCTTCCCTTGCGATGCCAACAAGGAACATTATGCTGGCGACGAGTGGCAGGTAAATTATACCTTTCTACTTTCTTACATCAGTAAAACCGAGTGATATTTGTTTTATAGCCTAGGCCAGCAAACGAGCAGGCGGACCACCTCCAGTATAAAATACTGTTCAAAATTAGGAATGAAAGCTTTAGACTATATTTCATATTCAATGTTAATTTTTTTTTTATTTCAACCTTACTGTATTTTTGAAAGATCAAAAAAAAAATATACAGAAACGTCCGTCAGTATGTCTGTCTGCAAAGCTAAGTGCTCGTTCCAAAATGTAGATAAAAGAATTAAGCGTATTACGCCGTCGTAATTCTTTAAAAATGTTCACAATATTACTGATACACCTTAATTGAATAAGTTCTTGTAAAACAAAAAAAAAGCAAACGATAGAATTATTTTTCCAATATTTTATTTCAAATCCTTTAAATATGATCTCTAACATGGTACATACTTACATATGCAAACTGTCAATGTGACAAAAACTAAAGAATTTGCCATAATCTAATCATAATGACTCACTCACTGAGAAAAGCTAAGATAAAAAACGAAATTTGTATGTCCCACGATAGTTACCTACTAGGTATTTTAAAAAAACCTTGCTCAAAGCTTCAATAAAAATATTTTTATATGCAATTAATAATTTAATATGCAGTACATCCCAAGCTTATAAAAGCGTGTTAAAAGACTTGGAGAAAGAAAGAGTACCTACCTACTAAACACAACTTTCCGTGCACAGGAGGACGCGTGCACGAAATGTTCGTGCAGTAAGGTGACAGGCGAGAACATGGCACATGTAGCCTGCACAAAGCAGACTTGCACGGCACCGCTGTGTTCCGACACGGAGGACCTCATCACCACGCCGGCCAAACCTGGACTCTGCTGCGATGACTATCTCTGTGGTCAGTATATTTTTATTTCTTTATGGAATAGGGGGCAATTGACCTTGCGTATCAGCTGATGGTAGTAAGTGATCAGTGCCTCCTATTGACACCCACAATGTCAGAGTAGGAGTTTTCATCATCAGCCGTGAGTCGTCCACTGCTGGACAAAGGCATCCCCCTTACAAAGGCTTCCCCCTTTCAAAGGCCTCCCCCTTACAAAGGCCTCCCCTTTCAAAGGCCTCCCCCTTACAAAGGCCTCTCCCTTACAAAGACCTCCCCATTACGTCCTCCCTTTTAACACATTCAGTGCCCCCGACGCGTATGTGCGTGCGAGGAAACGCACATACGCGTCGGGGGCACTGAATGTGTTAAAGGCCTCCCCTTTACAAAGGCCTCTCCCTTACAAAGGCCTTCCCCTTACAAAAGCCTCCCCCTTACAAAGGCCTCTCCCTTACAAAGGCCTCCTCCTTACATAGGCCTCCCCCTTACAAAGGCCTCACCCTTTAGAAGGAATAAGAGTGTATTAGTGTTTTAAGGAGTACGCTCGTTTATTAAAGATTGGATTTCATTAAAGCTTTTAAAATTTAGTGAAGATGATGTGATGTTATAGACGGAGCAAAATTTACATACCCCAAGCTGAATAACACTTTACTCGACTTGAGAATTACACTCGAAACTCTTTGCTATTTTTTTAAATAAAGAACACAAGTTTTCATTCTCATGACACCTATTAAATCCAACAATCTTCTCGCATACAGATTACAAGACTTAAATCATCAGTGGCGCCACCTAATCACTGCAAAAACTGTTCTAGCGAAATTGAAATGTCTTTAGCTTAACTGCATACTCGTATTATAATTTCATATTGCACTTTCAGTACCGAAACCAAAGAAGAACTGCACAGAAGCTAAGAAGATGGACTGCGGGTACGGACAAGTACTGAAACAGAAGACTACGGCTGATGGATGCATCGAGTTCGCTTGTGGTAAGGTTTTTTTGTATAATAATGTCGGCAAACGAGCAGACGGATTACCCGATGGTAAGCAATCACACTGCCCATGGACACCCGCAACCGAAGAGTTCCGAGTGCATTGCCGACCTTTTAGGGATTAGGGTTTTGAAGATTTACGCCGTTTTTCTGCGAGGCCGTGGTATCACTCCGGTCGAGCCGACCCATCCGTGCTGAAGCATAGCTCACTTGAAACAAATTTATTTATTTTGTGTGATTTTTCAATATAATTAATTATTCATACTTTGTTTTGACGATATATTTGATTTTAGACTTTTTCTAATTAACTTTTTAAAATACGAATGCTGTTTGACTTAAAAACATTATGACGTCATATTTTAAAATCATAAACAAAGTTCATAGAAAAGCAAAGTTTGACATTTCAATAAAAGTATTGAATTTGACTAGACGGAAACTACAGAATTGAACCGCTATTTCTGATGAAAAAACTGAAGGCAAATAGCTTCTTGGAGTATCAACTAATTCTCAATTTTTTGTACCTATGTTAAAAGTCAGAATGCAGGCGTAATGTACATATGTACCTAATAACTACATTCTATACCTACAAACAAAATAAAAAAGTATTCTTTTTTATATTCGAAATTTATATCTACTACTAGCGGCCCGCGCTTCGCACGGGTCCAACTATTTAAATAACAATGAAAGGGTCATTTTTCTCAATTTTCCCCGTACTATTATAATATTTTCTTTCATAAGAACCTTCTACTGACTAAAAGAAATACAACAAAGAAAGAATTGCCTAAAATGATCCAGGCGTTGTCGAGGTATGCGCTTACCAACACATTTTACGATCAATTTTTATATAAATAGATTAATATTGTTAACAGAATGCATGCCAGCTAACCAATGCGAGTCTTTGAACGAGAAAGACGTGGAGGTGTTCGAGCCGGGAATGGAGCGCGTCGTGGACAACAGTGGGTGCTGCCCCCGCGTGCACTACCTGTGCAACGTGGACACATGTCCTCGCTCCCCCGCCTGCCCACAGTTCCACGACCTGAAGATCTATAATACTTCTGGCAAGTGCTGCCCGGAGTACAAGTGTGGTAAGTCCATTTGTAAATAATACTTTACTAGCGGCCTCCCCTCGAAAACCCTCATATCAAACAACGAAATCGTTAGGGCCGTTTCCAAGATCAAATACTTTTTCAAGCAGCGCCATCTGCGGGGCTGATTTGTGAATCTCAACCATCCAGAGCGCCACTCGAACGCATACAGAAAAAAACATTTAAATCGGTCAAGCCGTTAAGCACGAGTTTAAAACGAGAGATAAAAATCAAATATTATTTTACAATTCCTTTCGTCATAATATAACTGACCTGTTTTGTATTAACATGCGACTGGTTCTTCCAAATTTGCCCCCTTAATCCAGAATCTGCCATGGGGGGAGCCAGTCTGTTTCAATTTGGGTTCTAAAATAATATTGTTTGTTCCAGAATTGCCCAAGGACAAGTGTATGGTGACTCTGGAATGGGAGGCCGCGTCGACGGGGGGAGAGAAACCACGCGCTACTCCACAGATTATCTTCAAAGATGTAAGTTTTATTTATAGGTATTTATTATATTACATGCCTAGGTAACTATCTTGGTGTCAGTCATTTGTTTTGTTGGCAAACTCCCACGACATCGTAAGGGGAAATACCTAACTATTCCTTACTTTTTCAAAGTTTTGATAAAATTAAGAAGCACCTTCTCTTACTTCTACTTCTTATTTTAGTGTTTCTATGAGCAATACAAAAAAAAAACACAATAATCATTTTCACAAGCTAGCTTCTTTCGATATTTGCACATGTGATAGTAACAGATTGAAAGATTCATTTTTGTATTGTATACTATTCTGACGTTTTTTTTTTCTTCTTTAAATTCGTAGGTGGACGCAGTATGGCTAGACGGGCCGTGTCGGTCGTGTAGATGCGAGTCGTCCCCCATGGGGGCGGCGCCGCGCTGCGTGGTGGCGGAGTGCGGCGTGCTGGCCAGCACCGAGCTCTACGTGGTGGAGCCGCGCCCCGCGCCCTTCCAGTGCTGCCCCCGCCCCGTGCACGTCGCCTGCAGGGACGGGGACAACATCTACAAGGTTACTTTACCACCTTATATGCCGATTCATCATCATCATCAGCCTATAAGTACCTACTGCTTAGCAAAGCCCTCTTCTCACAAAAAAGGTTTGAGCAGTAATCACCACGCTTGCTCAAGGTGGATTGCCGATTAGAAATTATAAGTCCAGGTTTCCTCACCATGTTTTCCTTCACCTTTTCTGATTCAATCTTAGAAAGTACATATGACTAGGAAAAAATCACATTGATACTTTTCAAGTTTTGAACCCTGCTTCTCATGCATGAGGGTCATGCATGAGAAGCAGGCGCCTTAACCTCCAGGCCACCACGACACTTAGTAGGCCGATTGCTTCCAATTAACGTGTAAAAGTGCTGTTTCATGGGTTATACAATAATGCACCAATGGTTTAAAAAAGTCTAGAACTATATCTAGTATTAAACAATATAAATGAGGCCTATCCTGCTGTTACCTTTGTACCTAATGATAATTAAGTCTACTACCTATATATTATTTATTTATTTAAAAATAAGCACACCAACAATACAATCACCCAATGTTATACAAAAAAACACAATAATCAAATAATTGGATGCACAAGCAATTGTACAAATTACAGGTGTGCATGACATTAAAAATGAAAGGTTTTTGAGACTTATATAATATGAGACTTATGTACATACATATAGAGCTTCCTCTCTCCTATCCCACTTACTTTGCTGTGCCCGACAGGGTCCATATGAACTATTTATAAGTACTACCACCTAAGACTACATGTGGAAAGCAATAAAGTATTGAGTATTGAGTATTGACTATGTGCCATTATGACCACATCAAACCTCTTCGGCCATAAGCGTGTGGTTTAATAACGGTATACCGCTTATTGCAAATACACCGAGGCCAATAGAGTAAATAAGTAATCTAATCCAAGTTCTAAAAGGCCAAAAGTAATGTTTATCTATTAATATCCAGGTCGGAGAAAACTGGACGTCACCGACGAACCCCTGCGAGAGCTACAAGTGTGAGCAGACGGCGTCGGAAGACAAGCTGGAGAAGGTCACCACCATACAGCAGTGTCACACTGAATGCCAACCCGTAAGTGATATTTTTTATTGGATGTAAGGAAGGAACAAGGTGGAACAAGCCCTCCACAACCTCCCTAAACCGCTACAACTCCTGTAAGCCAGGAACTACATTTAAATAGATTTTAAGATTCGAGTCAGTGCATTTTTTTGTCATGAGTAAGTCAACAGCGGTTTTCAAGTAGACGGATTAGCTGATGGTAAGCAATCAGCGCCGCCCATGGACACTCATAGTACTAAAGGAGATACTACAAGTGCATTGTCGGCCTCTTGTGGGTTATTAGGGATTTAAGGATAAAAGTTATTTTTTGACTTTCTCACTGATAACCTTAATGTGCTCAATAAAAGAAAAGTTTTTCTAGAACTAGACTGTGGTATACCAACATATACAACACATTTATATAATTTCCTTCTTCTTCCTATTCTCATTTATGCTTTTTTGTCATTATGCTGTAGGAGCCTTTAGCTTATCCGGTATTTTCTTTTTCTATGTCTTTTGTTTGTAGTAGTATTGTTTTCACTCAGTTGAACCAACTTTATAATGTTACAAAGTACCTAGGTATTTTATTAATTGAAAAAGAGCAACATTGAAATTTTTTGATCGATTCCATAGGAATCTAAACACAAACAGCTCCTCCTCTATTTTACGTTTTATCTTTAATTATTTTCTTTATTAATGAATAATATAAATTGGTTAAGAATATCGATTTATCATCGGATTATCCTACTAATATTATAAATATGAAAGTTTGTGAGAATGTATGGATACGTTTGTTATTGTTTCACGCAAAAACGGCTGAACCGATTTGGTTGGTAGATAGGTGATACCTTGGATTAACACATAGGCTGACAGGCTGACATGTGATCACAATTTTCATCAACATACCTTGCGGAAGAAGCTGCGGACAGAAGCTTGTATAACTATATATTTTTTATATTTATTCTCAACATAGATCATTCTGATTTCTTCTTTAATCCAGGGTTGGAAGTACTTCCCAGCGAGTCCAGAGAGTAAAGAATGCTGCGGCAAGTGCGAGCCGGTTGCCTGCGTCGTGGACGGGAAGGAACGACCCATCGGGGAGAGGTGGACCTCCAGCGACTTCTGTGCCAACTATACTTGTGTCAACGTTAATGGAACGGTGAGGGAATTGAAATACTTATACATTAGTGACTGACTGCACGATTGGTGTGTTGGGAACTAGATGCCGCGCAACGTGTCTCGGGCTCGATTCCCGCACGAAACAACTCTTTGTGTGTTCCACAAAATGATGTTTCGGGCCGGTGTGATGAGTATAGTATGTGTTATTGTAGTTATGTTTGGTAAACGCACCCATGACACAGGAGAAAATACTAAGGAGCGAGAACGTTTTTCTTTAAAAAAACAATTTAGTGATAGACGCAGTCTTCTTTTATTAAAAGTTGTCAATCAATTTTTATAGTTCTTCCAAGACATTATTATATCGCATTCTGTGTACAGATTAATAGCAAAAAAAGTAATAAGAAAACTGAACAAAACTACTTTGTACCTACTGAAAACGAACAAAATTTTAAAGACGATTTTTACTTTTTTAATCTACCTACTCATATATTTTTTCTTTGACCAGCTCCAAGTGCAATGTTCAAACGAGACGTGCCCTGAAGTGTCGGAGGCGACGAGGAAGCAGTTCGTGTTGAGCAATGAGAAGGTGGATGGCAAGTGCTGCCCCAGGGAGGAACCCATTGCCTGCCGCGTCGGTAACCTCATCTACCAGGTAATTACAAGGTGTATTGAGTCACTAGTCCAAGTTTAAGTGTGGGACAGCCATGCTTCGGCACGAATGGGTCGGCTCGACCGGAGTAATGCCACGGCCTCACGGAAAACCGATGTGAAACAACCACAACGTTGTGCTTCGCCGTGTGAGTGAGGTTACCCGAGGCCCAATCCTTCCTCTCCCCCAATCCTAAATCACCAAAATCCTAATCCCTAAAAGGTCGGCAAAGCACTCGTAACTCTTTCGTTTTTGCGGGTGTCTATGGGTGACTCTGATTGCTTCCCATTAGGTAATCCGTCTGCTCGTTTGCCCATCCTATCACATAAAAAGAAGTTATTTCTGGGTTGAAAACATCGAAACGTGATTGGTTAATTAATTTAGAGCGGGCCAATCAAAACCCTGAACGTCATAAACGTGTTAATTCGTAAAGCAAAGCAAACTTGAAATTAGCATTCATAACTTTACCATCACCGGTGATTGTGTGATTTATAGAGAAAGCTACTTTTTAGGAAATAAATTATCATCAAGTCCCACGTCAGCTCATAAAGTCTTACTTCTAATTACATTGAAATAAAAGTAATAAAAATTACTATTTTTAGCGAACTAATAAATTCTTACAAAGGTTGACCTAAGAAATCTACTGCAAAATTAACAAAGAACTCATTCCAACCTTATTTCATTACAGGAGGGTCAAACCTGGCCATCACCAACAGACCCCTGCAAGAACATAACCTGTGCGCGAGACTTCAACGGCCAGTTGACCCACAAGGAGAGCGTGGCGACGTGCTCCCTGCAGTGCAACAAGGGCTGGACCTACGTGGCGCCCCCTGCTGGGGTCTGTTGCGGACATTGCGTGCAGACTGCCTGTGTAGTCGACGATAAAGTTGTTGCACCAGGTCAGTATTTATATTCAATTAATTTAAACTAGCAACCCTGAAATCCAATGAAAAAAACTTTGTGTGTTGTGAAGTACATTTACAACACACAAGGTTTTTCATTTTCATTTACACAAGATTCATTCACATGATCTCGGGAACGGCACCTGTTGGTGCCGTTTTCGATGAAATTTTGGGAACGAAAAATAGCAAAAGTAGAAATCTAGCTAGGTATTATTTCAGCCGGGAACAGAGTGACCTTAAATCAGTAGGAGTCTGATACTCCCTCTTGCCTTATCCTGGGCGAGAGGAGCTAAGCGATAGTTTTTCCGTTCTCAAAAAAAAAACAGGGATAACATCCACTAACTAGTTTCGTGTAATTTCTCACTAGTGTCTTGACTGGAGCTGTTACTAGTCTTCTGAATTTGGATTATTCTCGATTCGACACCAATATCTAATTCCTTTAACTCTGTCTTCCAATCAAAAAATAAGGGGCCAACTTCAAAATGGCGTTAAAAACTTCCATGAAGCCTGTGGTAATTGGTTTTCCTGTATTGAAAAATGTTATAAAACTTGTAATAATTGTCGTGCAGGTACAACCTGGCAGTCGGCGGACAACTGCACGACGTACTCGTGCGAGGTGTCCGGCGCGGAGGTGTTGGTGTCGGCCTCCAGCCAGCTCTGCCCCGACGTGTCGCACTGCGCGCCCGACAACCTCCTCAACGGTACTTGCTGCCAGATCTGTGAGGAGCGTCCTGAAGCACTCAGTAAGTTATAGTCTTGTATATTTAAGGCGAGTAAGGGTAGCTCGCCGTCCGACCAGAACCAGACACGAGCGTACGACGCGTAGCGTTCCGCGCGCGCCTCAAAGAGCCAATAGACCACCACAGGCGGGGCCCTAAAGGGCTGATGTTCAGCCGGGGCTGCGGGGTAAGCGCAATGAAGCACCGCGACCTCGGCCCAGAGTAGGAGAAGGAACGGGGGGGTTTTTAGTCTAAGAGTCTGTCAGACTCCTAGACTAAAATCTGGCACTCTTAGACTGAAACCCCTATTTGTGCAATAGGCTCCGCCCATGGCCAACCGCATCAGAGAAGTTTTGAGTACGTTGTCGGCCCTTTTAGCATTAGGATTCCGGAGATTTAGGGATTGTTGAAGGGATGGGGGAACAGAAAGGTTTGGGCCTGCCGCCGGGACTCTGGTCGAGCCGACCCATTCGTGCTGCCAAATTTGGCCACACTTTCAAGCAATACAAGCCATTATTATCATATTCGAAAGCTTAGCTCTCCATATTATCTAGATATATGCCTTAGTTATTTCATCACCAGTAAATAACATAATCTTCTATTTTTGTTTACGTTATATGTACCTAGGTATCATTATCTAATCATCGTTTGAACCTAAGTTGTAGAACCATAAGTAAATAATTACCTACATTTTAGGTATTCTCTACTCAACTGACATCACGGACACACAGATAACCATTTGCGTTATAATCGTGTGAGTTAAGTTACTGGAGGTCCAATCCTGGCCTTCTATTCAACTTCCTATTATCATCTAGGTACAATTGGGTAGTTTCCTAGGTCAAAAATAAATTAATTCGACGTTTCAATACAATAAAATATTGAACAATAACTTTACTTTTATTCATCGATCGATCGATAAACTAACTTTTAGATATTATATAGCTAATTATTAAGAAGTAAGCTATTTGACGCAAAAATACTATGACGTCATAACTCGGTTTTTCATACAAATTTCATAGAAAGGTATCGTTTTTGACATTTGAATAAAAGTATTGAATTTGACTAGTTGGAAAATACCGTATTATCTGCCTAATTTAATTTTTTTTCAAATCCCTAACGACCCCCAAAAGTACGCCCACCCACATGTATGTTCTGTGCTGATGGGTTTGTCCACGAGTGGCGCTGATTGCCTGCCATCAAGTGAAATAAAAACAATAAAAAAGAATTACCACCTGATAACAATAAAAAATTACTAACAACATTTTTAGTTGTTATACAAAATACTGAAATCGGAATCAAAACAATCTCCATTTTCTTTGCCAATTAAGTAAGCATTTATTTCATAAAAAAAATTACAATTACTAACTTCAAAAATTAAGGAAGATATTACTATAGTTTTGAAGGGATCCATAATTACATAGTATATTGTATAGCTCCAGTGGCGCAATTGGTTAGCGCACGGTAAGGCAGTGTTCGTGAGCGATGCCGGGGTTGCGAGTTCGAGCCTCGCCTGGAGCAATATTTTATTACTGCAATTATACTCAATTATTAATTAAAATTATTTGAAATTGTTTTAGTGTATAATATGATAGATATTCTAATAAGATGCAGGTGCCTATTAATTGTGGCGGATATTAAACTTTTTTATTTATTGTTTTCTCTGTTAAAGATTTTTTCCTACTTGATAAGTAATGATGCAAAACAGAAGGTAAACAATAGTACAGTACAGTAAACAGACTTAATATGAGGCTAAAATTGTTATTAGAATATAAGTTTCCTAAGTTGTTGTCTTTTGGACTTTGTATTCAGTTATATCATACATATCAGTGAATTTTGACAATCCGACAAGCGGTTCCAAAGATTACCCCCTACATACAAACTACACCTCAACAAATTTTACCTGTTTATTATATTAGTGTACTTAGACATAGATAAAGATAAAGATGCTCTGTTGAAGTTTTCATTTTAAGGCGATTAATATTATATTGAGTGCATTACATTTAATATTTAAATTCTATTTTTTCTGTCTTTTAAATATACACTTGTAATGTTCCAGGCAAATGCGTACCAACGAGCTTATCTCCGTCTGAGACAGTGGGTCTATTCCGCATCCACCTGGGCCCGCACGGACTCTGCGTCAACAAGCTGCCGCTGCGAGGGTTCCAGGAGTGCCGCGGCACTTGTGACTCTGGCACTCTTTATAATAACCGTAAGTATTTTGTAGATATGTACAGCAGTGTCTTGTGCGATATTACTTGAAGTGACACTCCGATTGGCTTGCTTCTAGTTAACCAACCAATCAGAGAGCTGAATGCGGTAATGTTACTACGCATGTAAATAAAATTGAGAATAGAGAGATTCCATACATATAAACGAAAGAACGTGGCTCTGTCACTTGCTTATGCATACGCAGTAGTTGCAAATGGCGTCAGGCGAATTTTTCAAATCGCAAAATCGTAGATATTTGTTCCAATTGAAAGAAAATACATTTTTTTCTTTTAGCATTGAGACCATGAGACATATAAAACGTATTGACAATAACGACTTTCTCACGTAAAACAACTCGGAACTTTGAAATACTAGTTTCAAATCGCAATACCTACCTAGAGTAGACTAATATTTTTATGCACATTGAAAAAAAAAGTGATGCCCTATTTTTATCGGGTTTAACATCAAATACTTATTACAGAAACGGGTGTCCACGACTCTCGCTGTGAGTGTTGCCAGGCTACGAAATACGGGTCACTGGACGTGACGCTGAGCTGTGAGGACGGCTCGCTACAGAAGCACCGCGTGGCCACGCCCAGCACCTGCGCCTGCGCAGCCTGCGGGGGACCTCAACGACCGCTGTGGCCTACTAAATCAGGTAACGTGCTCATTCAAGATATTTTTTGATGCTTGTTATAGCGTCTTTTACAATAACACGAAGTACATTACATCATCAGCTATAAGTGAACACTGCCGAGTAAAGGCCTCTTCTCACACAAAGAATGTTGGCGCATCAGTGTACAGAAAAAATAAATTGGTTTATGTATACACTGTACTAACGGTCGCTCGCGGCTCCGCCCGCGTGGATATCGATTTTACACATGTTCAAGATTTTTTAAATTTCCTCCCCATACATACAAACCTTATCTGGACTTCCACGAATAACAAGACCAAAATTAGCCAAATCGGTACAGGCACTGTGAATTTATAACATTACAAAGAAAAGTGGCATTGATTTATAATATATAATTAACTAGTGGCCTGCCCCGCTTCGCACGGGTCCAACTATCTCGCTATCAAAGGGTCACTTTTTCCCAATCTTCCCCTCTACTTTTCTAATATTTTCTTTGGATAAGAACCTTCTCCTGACAATAACAAACACAAAAACAAAGAACTAGCAAAATTGGTCCAGGCGTAGTTGAGTTATGCGCTTACCAACACATTTTAAGATCCATTTTTATATATAAAGAAGATATAGATGTAATTTTTGTTTTTAATTTCAGGGTACGACGGAGTTAAATCCCCGCCGCGCCATCCGCCTCCCGTCGAAGAAGATATCATACCAGAAATATACCAAAGATTCGGAACAACACGCCCCCAACGATAAATCAACGCCTTAACACAACGTCATAAGATTCAAAATCGTATGCACGTTCACCAAAATGCTTTATAGACAAAAATAGTCTGTAATTCAATGCCTTAAAGTACAAAGTACACAATTTGCTATAGTCTATTCTATTTTGTGATGTTTACTTGAAATATATATGTATTATATTCCTGTAAATATTAATATACATGGCAAAGTTCAAAAATATGTGTTTTATTTGTAATATTATGGTTTATCTTTGAAATCTGTTGTTAAAAGTCTATGATAGAGGTGTCGAAGAGCCATGCTTTGACACGAATGAGTCGGTTCGAAGGAGTGATACCACGGCCTTAAAGAGTACCGGCTTGAAATAACGCTTGCGTGATATTTCGTCGTGTGAGTGAAGCTACTGGTAGTTTCATACTTCCTCCCAAATCAAATCCTCAAATACTTAATAACCCATTGAAGCTCAACGCCCTTAATTCATCCTTGAGGCGAACAGTGTCCCTTGAAAAAAATGCATCCACCTTTGGTACAATTCCGGGCGTCGGGAATCGAGGGACGATCTCCGGCCACGGTGAGTAAGGGTAGGGTAGGGAACGGAGGGGGGGTTTAGTCAGTAAGTCACTGATGACACTCCCTCCAGCACGACTCTAGGTGGGAGAAGTAATTTGATGATTTTCCCCTCCCAAAAAAACCTTTGGTACAATTAAGATAAAAAACGACTATTAATAAAAAATATATATATATTATTGCAATACTTTATTCACTGGTACCAAAACAAAAAAATAACTGGTTTCCATCACATAGCATTACAAACTGATCACATTAGATTGAACCTTATGCTTTAGTTTATAGAGTCGACATAACAATTAGTGCCTAAGACTCTTGTTGATCTTCTGTGACGTCACCTTCTGCATTCTGTTGTGCTTCTTCTTCTTCTTTCTGCTTCTGTTTTCTTACCATGTCTGATAGGTACTTGCATCTTTGCATGCATTCCTCCTGTGAAGAAATATTTATGTAAGTTTGGCACTATATCATCTAAATTTTTAAGTGTGGGAGAGCCATGCTTTGGCTCCAGTGGGTCGAATCGGGCCCAATCCTTCCCATCCCCCAATCCCTAAATCTCCAAATCCCGAATACCTAAAAGGTCGCCAACGCACTCGTAACTCCAGCGCAGCGCTTATTGCTATTTTTATATTAGACAGCGCTTATTGCTATTTTTATATTAGACAGTTTGCTATTGTCTGGACCTATGACATTAAAAAAAACATAGGTGCTCGTTCTAAGGTATAGATTCGAATAGAGAAAAACGTTCAAGAAGAAACATCGTTATTCTTTTTTTTTTAAACAAAAACATATGTCGGTATGTACAACATACTTTGGTCTTCCCGGGGACTGCATTAGCGATCTTCTGCCATCGGTCTCCGGCGCCCCCCTTGGGGTACTTCGCGAGCGCAGACTCCAATGCTTTCTGTTGCGTCTGCGACCAGTTACCGCTAGACGTCTCCTCCGCTTTACGCGTTTTCACCTAGGATAGAAGAAAATCAAATGAAAATCTTATTTTACCATTCGTTCTCTATGTTGAGTCCTAGTAAATATGAATGAAATGAATTGAGACACAAAATCATTAGTAATATATTAGGATAAGGAGACTGACATTCACTATGTGTTATAAAAGGCTCCAAATTTTTAAAGAATTTAATAAAATTATATTGAAGTTTAATATCAATTTAGGATTCTCAACATTTGTACAAAATCTGCTGAGTCACAAATGGGCCAATTTCTAATGCCAAAAATAAAAATACATTTTGTATAATTGATCAGTCTAGCTTCTTGTAGTCTTATAACTTAATGGTTCCGTTATACGACTGAGTATATTACTCTCTCAAAGATCACTTACCTTCTTAGGGGGTTCAACAACGATCGGCTGTTCCGGTTCTTGACCGGGTATCTTGTAGCAGTTCTCCTTGAGCTTGGCGGCCATGTGCGTGACTTCCGGTACACTCCGACACATGGTCTCCGCTATCCGCTCCCACCTCTCTGACGAGCCCCCTGGGTACTTTTTTACAAGCCGCACTAATTCAGCCAGGTCATCATCAGTCCATAAGCCTCCTGTGATCACTGGGGCCGCAGGCTGAAAATAAGTGCGAAGTTATACATCTGTTAAAACAATTTTAGTTCCTAATTCTATATAAATAAAGTCAAGATTGAGAATTTGCTGTTGTCAATTGTATTTTTCTTATTCTATCTAAAGTAAAAATTAAGCAATGTGCAGGATTACAAATTAGTTCAAAAACTTAAAGTTTCCAACCAATCTGAATTCAGAGCTTGAGTACAGTAAATTACTTATTGAATACAGTGCATATCCAAACTAATATTATAAACGCGAAAGTAACTCTGTCTGTCTGTCTTTTCTTCGCGCCTAAATTACTGAACCGATTACTGTGAAATTTGGTACAGACATAATTTGGAACTCCAGAAAGGACATGGGATAGTTTTTATACCAAAAATCTGCAGGAAGTCACTACTCCACGCGAACGGAGTCGCGGGCAAAAGGTAGTAAGTATTTAATATTTGGATTTTCATGTCGGTGAATATGTTAAAAATTAAAATTTAACTCGGATATAATATACCTGTCTAACAGGCACGACCACAGGACCTCCCTCAGGCTCGTCAGCAGGATCGAGCAGACAGTCCCCGTCCCTGGCGGGGGGCACAAACTTGCGGCGCTTGCGCACGCCGGCTGCCTTCAGCTCGGCTGCTATTACCGCATCCCGCTCCGCTCTAGCCTTCTCTTCTTCTTCCCTGAAAATAAAAATTGTATACATATTAAATATAAGCATCTTTTACATACTTTGAAGTTTCACATACAATATCTATCTTTTTTCCATATAAGCGGTTAGTTTGCCATATAGTACTACTAGTAACTAGTGATCCGGGCCGGCATCGCATGGGTGCAATACCGGTACAAAATTTCTCCACTATTTACGCATGTTATATAATACTTTCTCTTCAATTCTTCATAACTTAATGATGTAAGCATACATGATATAGGGACATAAAAAGCGAGTTTGTTTTATACTATGCAGTGATATCTTATTTCAGTAATTTACAGTATAGCATACAATTATTATAATTAGTTTCAAAAGTTGTTAGCCTTGTAGTGTACTCCAGGCGCAACCAGACTTCTCACTATTAGTCAGAATTTTAAAAAGCCGAGTATCTCAAATGTTATTTTATCTTTGTTGTCCAACTACGAAAAAAAAGTTAGCCTCAATATCATTTTTGCAGCATTTTGAACAGTGATTTTAAATAAAGACATACCTCTTTTTCTGTCTCTTAGCTTCTTCTTCTTTCTCTTTCATTCTTCTCCTAAGTTCTATAATTCCTCGTGGTATGGCGAGTATAGATGTTACCACCCACCGCGGTATTTGGAAGGGCAATGTGTCTTTAATACTAGGTTTTGGCAGCTGATCTAAGATTTCTGACAATCCCTGGTCAAACCCTGATTTCTTTGAGTGCTTTTTGCCTCTGCTTTTAAGTATTTGTTCCTGAAAATATAATTATTTAATTAATACAAATTCACAGATAAATCTTGATATTTTAACATATGAGATCTTATTTACGTAATTTATGTATTTTATGTGTCCTTCTCAAGTGCTTTTTTGAGGTGGGAGAGCCAAGCTTCGGGCTTTCGGGAATGGGTCGGCTCGACCCGAGTGATAGCTAGATAGATAGCTAGGTGATAGATACAGCCTCACAGAATACCGGCGTGAAACAACCACAGCGTTGTGTTTCGCCGTGTGAGTGAAGTTACCGGAGGCCCAATAATGCCACGCCACATTTATGGTATTCTATTGGCTCTTTGGCCTACGTGTGGAAGGGGCATTATTTGGGTATACTACATAATATACTTTTTTAATAGAATCAACACTTTCATGACCTGACGCAGGATATTTATTTATAAATTTTAATGGAAAAGGAGACATTTGAACATGAATCCTTTCTAGAACCGACGCTTAATTTACTTAATTAATTGAAAATAACGACTTTAATCGCGTAAATAAACTAAGCCATCTTTTCGGTTAGCTGCGCAAGAGTTCCGTTGTGACTTGAAATACTATAGAATTACATAACTTACCGCCGTAAATCTCTTCTCAGCATACGCGGCCCATCCGACGGCATACTGGACAAATGTGATGATGATGAACAGGATGATGGAGCCCTCGGCCAGACCCATCTTCCTCACGTGACGGTAGTAGTAAATGGCTGATCGCCAATTTGGAAGACCATTTTTGAGCACCTCATTGTATCTGGAGATTGAAAATAGTTTTAATTTATTACTATCAAATATGTATATATTTTTTATCTGTACCATGTCCACCATGGTCCTGGTGTCACTAAACACTAGATTATCTTATCTCAGTAAATAATTTATGAGAGTAAGTGTTTTTTTTAATTTAGTCACCACACTTGCTTAATGCTGATTGACAATTTCTAACTAATAAATTATATTTGACTGCACGGTTGGAATGGTGGCTGGGCAACTGGCTGCGCGCAACGTGTCGCGCATCTCTTTGTGTGATCCACTAATTGTTGTTCCAGGTGTGGGTGTGATGAGTATGTGAAAATGTGAAATCGTATGTTTGTAAACGGACCTATGACACAGGAGGAAATAGTATTGAAGGCCAACATTTACAAAAAAAAAGGAAAAAAAAATATAAGCCCAAGCATCCTCAATGTTTTCCTTCACAATAAGTCGGTGTTGTCTAAATAATCTATAGACAGTTAGAAAAAGTTTTAAATATACTTGTCAAGTTTCGTGCCTGCACCATCTCATGGATCTGAAGTGTGTTTTATAACACAATATTTTTATTTAAATGCAACTTTATAGCATAATATAATGTTTTATTAAGTGTTAATATAATTAAGTTAGTTATATTTTTTTTAAATTGGTAAAGTTTGGAAATTGTTTAGTAGTATAGTTTTCTCTTAAGTAGAATTTTCTAAAAATCATATTTATTATGATATTAGTTTTACTGACAGATTTAAAAAGTTTTTTTTTAATTTATGGAAAGTCTTTGTCAATTTATTTAAAAAGTATTAAATTTTTTTAGATCAATCTATTGTTATTAACTTTAATTTGGCTAAGGTAATCTAGGCAACATACTTCTCTCGTTTTCCTGGATCTTTGAGTATGTTGTGCACGGAGACCAGGTTCCTGAACTGTACATCTGCATCAGGGGCATCATTCTTATCCGGATGGAGCTTTAATGTGAGCTTCTTAAATGCAGATTTTATTTCTGACGGTGACGCATCCTATGGAGACAAAAAACTGATTGTAATTTTATTATCAATCAACTGCAGGGAACCTCTTTACCCAGTGTAATTAAAGTAAGGATTTAAATGTATATTATCGTTAACGTGGTTTTTATCTATTGTTAATGATAACAGCTTTACAAATCCCAAGATTTACCCACAGAAGTTATAGGTCAGTTTGCAATGATTAGTGAAAGTTTGTCTATCTTATAAATAGTTGAAAGTTTAACGTAGGGTAAAATTAAGCTTTCCATTATACTTTATGTAAGTTCTTACCTGTCCCACACCCAATAATTCGTAAAAGTTTTGATTAACTTCTTCGACCACGTCAAACACTTCTAAATCACCGTCATCCCACGCCTTCACGGCCCAAATCAGAGAAAACAAAACAAACACACTCCACCGCATATTTTTAGACCTAGCTCAAACTATTTTTAATATAAAAATCATTCTACTTTATGTACAATATCGGTGCATGAACCCCGTTGTCGTTTTCCTTTTTTGACAGCACGTCCACATATGAATTTGACAATGACAACTCACCAGCTGGCCGATCCATAGAGACGGAATAGTATTCGACTAAATTTAAAATTTTTGATATTTATCCCAAAATCTTGAGAACAGATTTATTTTCCATACCCTTTATAGAATGTGTAGAGTTTATTAAATACATTTTACTTAAAAAAGCAATATTTTGTAATGAACCATTATAATATTACATTGAACATGTAATTTTACAGCTGGGCATTTTACACGAATGTAAATTTTATTACATTTCAGTGTCAAAAATGACACCGGCTTTGTTTAATAACGCCTTGTTATTTACATTTTGTCATCAATTGTTAAATATCTGAACATCGTAAATAAAAAGTAGGTGCATTGTCTCTTCACTTCCGATCGATAATTTGTAATTTCTGCTGTTGCTGCTTCCTGCATCGTGTTGCATCTCAAAAATCAAAAGGTAGTTATACTGAATAGTTGATATAACTTTATTAATCTTATGTTACTCTTGAAATAACTGAAATTTATTTATAATGTATTTATATTTTTATTCCCAATTTTCTTTGATTATGCGCAATGATAATATAGTTAGTAAGTGCTGATATTAAATTTAAATTAAAAAAAAAACCCAAGTAGTAAAAATATATGACTGCTAAGCGATTTTTAAAAAATATGCTACGCTGTTTTCTATGTAAAGATGATAAATATAATGTAAATGTTAACGTATATGTACCTATATGTATTGAGCCACCATGACCACCATTACTCTTATATTTTATTGATTGTCGCTCGTCAACAGTGGTTATTAATATCTGTATCAAATTCGTACAGAATCACAGACTTATCTCTTTTCTTAATTGTGTTAAATTCGTTCAGTTTTAAATAGTAATAATATTAAAAGGTAAATAAAAGAGCAATGTGTCTTAGATGTGATATTGCTATTGCTAATTGAGTAGGCGAACTCTATTAAACTATTTTAGAATCAGAGAATTGGTTCTCGACTTGAATACTGTTTTAAAAGTGCTTTAAGTATGTAGCTTCGACTAAAGAACTTTAGTCTTGTGTGAAAATAGTAAATAGTACCTGGGATATATGAGATTTTTTCTTAATTGTTCACCATTTTGATATAGCTACAGTTATGAACGGAATGTTCAAACAGTAACTATCAAGAGAATTATCTCAAAAATAACTTGATCAAATCAAAATTTTATGCTTGATTTACTAAAAGTAAGAGAGATTATAAAATCTATTACCTATGTAGACATACATGGGTAGAGTTCAGCCTAAATACCTAGGTACTTCAAAAAGTGCCTAGTTCAAAATTTCTTTTTGTTTATCAGTAATGGCCCGTGCTCGTCCCGGTATGTGCAACATACGTCGCCGAGTCTCCGTGGAACAGCTACGCGTGCTGTTTGAATCAGTGGAGGAAGACCCCACCCTCTACAATTCTGGACGGGCTGATATGTCCTTTGCCACTGTCCAAAAATGGACGAAACTCTCCGAAGTATTGAACAATATTCCTGATGGTGCTGCACTAACTGCTATGAATTGGAAATACGTAAGTTTTCTTCTCTTTTTGTTCTTAAACTCTTATTGACCTAAAAACCACCTGGATTCACCCGCTCTGGGCTGGACACGTGGAATAATAAGGCGCTTGCACCCACAAGCTTGGTTTTTTTTATGGTATACATAGATCGGCAAACGAGCAGACGGATTACCTGATGGCAAGCAATCAGCGCCGCCCATAGACACCCGCACCACCCAAAGGAGTAACGAGTGCGTTGCCGGCCTTTTAGGGATAAAGGTTTCAGATATTTAAGGATTAGGAAAGGATGGGGGAGGGGGAGGGTTTGGGCCTCCCTTGGTCCAGTTGGACCAGGAGTATAAATAAGCTTTTGTTGATCAAGAATTATAGGCTCACCGTAACTTCATAAGGATTTGCTCGAATTTCTTAGAATCTATGGACAAAATAATACACAACGCATCTCAACACGAAAATGGACAAAAGTAAGTCTTCTTGGCGTATGCAGAGCACAAAACTCCAAAAGAAGTAAATAAACAAACAAAACCTTTAGTTATTCATTTTTATTATCAGATCTTAATTAATCTTATCAACAGGTACTGCGCTATTGGGGCGAGAATACTAAAAGGCGCATGAAGCTCGGCAAAACCAACTATATGAAGAGCAAGAGGGCTGCTTTTCTCTCTCATGGGGAACTGGAGGTCTTGCACGACCTGGAGAAGAAGCTGTATGAGTTCATGAAGCAGGAAGAAGCCAAGGAGGCTATCGTAAGTATCCAATTATGAATTTTCAGTAGGTATAGTAACTACCGCTTTGCTATCCTTTTGCCTGAATAAAAAAAAAAATGCAGAAGGAGCTTATAGACTCTACGAATACTGGCCTGGTGTTCCTAAATGTTATTGCCTAAAAATCCCCGTAACGTTCCTTTTCCTGCTCCATACTGAGGTCGTGGTACCTTATTGCGCTTGACCCGCGACGCCGGCTAAGCATTGGCCATGTTGAGCCCCATTTTTGGTGGTCTATCGGCTCTTTGAAGCGCGCGCGAAAATCTTCGCGCCGCACACCAGGTGTTACACTGGTCTGGTTCTGGTCAGGTGCCGAACTTTAGCCTTGCTCGACTACCGCAGACCCACTTTTACGGTGGTCGGAGATCGTTGCTCGATGATCCCGACGCTCGAAGTGTCGTCTGCAGGTACTTAATAGGGTAAGGTTAAGTTAATCAATATCAATCGAAAATGGCAACAAAATGTCTGCCTGTGTCGATATTCGTATGTGCAAAAAATTAAATTCAAAAAGTACTTAAATCTAAATTATCTATACAAAGGCCCTAGAATATGGAACCTTGTTTATTGCTAACATAAGGTTAGCTTAAGTACGTATCTTTTGTTGCAGAACCTGAATGAGCGCGTTTTCGACATGGATGCATACGAGAATCGTCCAAGAAGAAGCCTTCGCATTTCCAACCGTACCTTTGTTCCCGATGAAGACGACGAAACCAATATGGCGATGCAAATAAATTATGAAACCGCCAAAACTCTACACGAAAGGCAACTTGATTTCATAGCCAATGATACGAGCGAGGATTTAGGTAAATTAAGAAATTTATAATACTTGCTTTATTTTGACTTTATTGAGATAAATGATTCAGGTATGAACATAAAGATTGACTTGTATAGTAAGTACCTACCTACAGACTTTTTTATTTCCATAAATACCTATCTGCATTTCATATCTTGTTGTTCAGACTGTAGGTACTTTCCTACCCATATGATACGCTGATTAATGATTTAAATTTTCATTTTATTGCATGGTTGACGTAGTTGATAGACAGACAGTGACAGATTTTTATGAATTTTTACCCAAATGTGTGCTGTGACCTCACGTTTCTTTTAGGGCTTAATATCATATTTACATATGGGAATGTCGTAATAAAATTTATATATGAAAGAGTTTTTTAAATATTTTATTGCATTGAGAATTCGAAATATATATATATTTTTTTGATAAGGTCTCTAAACTTCTTTAAAATAACAATTTAGTTAATACAAACCTCATAGAGTAGTCCCATATTACTAAAATTCTAAAATCGACTATTTGATCAACAGCTGGGGCTCCTCAGCAGCAGATCTTGGCTCGTCAGCTGGACCGTCTGCAGACGGTATCCCGTGAGCTGGAAGACCACATCGCCACTGTACAGAACCGAATTCACCTCATCAAGGACATGTGGATGCACAACTGCGGACAAAGGCACTAAATCAGATAGGCAGGACTCATCGGAGAGATCAGGGTTGTAGGATGGAACGAAAAGTGATATAGGCTACACAAAGAATGAATGCATGGAATGCTTCACTAAGGAATGAATGAGGTGGAAAGTTTTTCATAGGGGCGATTGCCAAATTAATCATAACATTTTACCGTATTTTTGAATGTCGTAGTAGAATGTTGTCACGTAATCAATTATGTCTAAGACGTTTAGATAGGAAGTCTGTATCAACAATAAAAACGATTTACGTTTCATTTTCCATGTTTTTGACGTAAGTATATTTATTTTGGCGGGAAATGCCATAGACACTTACCGCCTTTTTATTCCTTTTAAAAAAGTATTAACGAAGTTAAGTTTGTTATTCTTTTTGGCCAGGCTATACGAAAATTCTGTGATTCTGTGATATTATTTTTGACGTATGTTTTTTTTATAATTTCTATACAAATAAATGTTAAGATATTGATAATAAATCAAATATTTATATGTGGTAGGTATAAGAAGTAAACTTCTTTTACATCGACAGATATTATTTACCTATTACCGTTGCTAAATCATCAAAGACTGACAGAATACCTCTAAGTATTAGCTGTTACCAAGCCAGTTACTTAGGTACAAAGTAATGTCAAATAAGTAGGTATTGCAAAAACTATAAACATGAAGAAATATAAACGAACTAAATAGAAAGCATGCAGTAGCTACATTCTCTATCTGTTGATGTGATAGGAGTTTTATCAGTGTTTATAATTAAGTAACTATTGTGAGTAGAAGTAAATTCATTGAAAATAACGACTAACTAACGTGAACTAGCTAAGAAAAGCTTTACTAAGCTGGCGATGACGCGTACGCTTCTTAATAGGTAAGTACCGATTCTCAGGAACTCACGTATATAATATAGTAGTCATTAATGACTTGAAACTAGTAAAACTTGTCTTAATGAAATCACGTTAATATGTCGTTATGTTGAATAAATTTATACTTAATTTATTTAAGCATAGTTTAGGGAGGAAACCAAAGAATCGAAGAAGTTTATGAATACAATAATATCACGGACTAAGACGCCATTCTGAGCAAGTAAATGATTATATTGTAAGGATCATGTCTCTGACATAGATCAGTTGGTGAGGTATAATTTTATCTATGAATATTTACGTGTAAAAGGTAAATCGATGTAGCATAATTGTCGTAAAATCGATGTACCCTATAGTGTCCGAATTACAGATAATAAATCTCTCAATAGATTAAAACAGGTCTGCAGTAATTTAACCTCTTTTTATTGCAGGAAATACTCTAGTTTACCACTTGAGTGTAGTAATCGTGTCAAATTGTCTTTGGTGTTCTTAATATATGTACTTGAAATCCAATTTCTTGGAGTTACTTGATTGAGGCCATTTTCAACTAATTTTAAATTCATTTGGAAACCTAAATCTGCTTCTTGCTGTCTAAAATTTTATTCGAAAATGTATTTAGGTACTTCTCCATTCGAGTCTAGTATTTGGTCTAACCTTTTACTTTGAATTTAACATTTCGTATGAAAAATTAGTGCCGTGCGCAAACGCCCTTAAAAAAGATCTGTGTCTTTATTAATTTTATGTATACCAATATAGTGTTAAGAAATAAATGTAGATACGTATAATAACTTAGTACGTGGAATGTATGTTTTTATTTCTTTTACAATGGACGCGCACTTGATTGTACCTACAATAGATCGTCTGTATTACACACAAATGTAACTGTTATCATAATCATTATTGTAATTTTAAGATATCAATAAAGTATTTACTTAAGGCAAAAAATGTTTATTTCTTCTTTTTTATTCGCTTAAGTCTTGTGCTGATGAAGGACTATCTTTTTAATTACAAAGAGGAGTATAATATATCCGTTTGAATGATAAACGTTTCTCCACACTAGACTTTTCTACAGCATCGTGGGTGCGTTTACAAAAATAAAACTATTTTTATAAATACATAACACCTATTCATGCAACTATATTTTTTGGATCAGAAAAAGAAACCCCTCCAATTTCATGTGGGAAACTAAACCGCCTGTGATGCAGTGGTGTCAAGTCCAAGTAACTATAATTCAACGGTTAAGTGCGTATCCTTCCGTCGTCCCCAGCCCCTCTAAAGGCTTTAGCTGCTGTCGATGGGCGGCGGCGATTGCTTAATATCAGACGACCCATCTGCTTCTTTCCCGTCCTCAGTGAAAGATCATGAATTATAAAGTAATTGAAAATAACATCCTTCTCGCATGCATTAGTTTTGGAAAAGCTCTACCAGTTTCGAGTTACAACGGGACTCTTATTCATCTTATTCCTCGAGAGCAAGTCGTTGTTTTCAATGATATTTAGTATTTCTTACAATAGTTACTGTTCTTAATTTAAAATTAATTTTCGTCTATAACGTATAAAATTACCTTCTAAGGCGTAGAAGTAAGGACTGTCGAAATCATTAGAATCGTGACCAGCCATTTGATGTAACTGGCGAATTGTCGTTTGGAAAAGAGAACCAATCAAAAACTTTTGGAGTCTTTATCAAGCTGCAAATGTGTTCACAATTATGTAGACTTGCCGATTTATCCGTTTTATTTTTATTTGAATAAAAATGCATTGGCCCATCTGTTGAGACGCTACCTGAGGGCGTGGTTCGATAGTTAGCAACCATTAACTATGTGACTTTTTCCGAGTACAGACCTAACGTATAAGTTAACATATTAAGTTAAAGAAAAAACACCAATGAAATTAAATCGCTCATCCGCATTGACCAAGCGTGGTGGTTACTATTCATAAAAAAAGAACTCTTCTCACACGCAAAAGATAACTTTTGAAGAGTCCTTTTTATGTAAAATCTCTTAAATTCGGAGATGGATTAACCAATGTAAACAATCAGCGCCACCCATGAACACCCGCAACGGAGGACTTACGAGTGCGTTGCCGACCTTTTAGGGATTAGGGATTTTAAGATTTTGGGATTGGGGGTGGGGAAGGATTGGGCCTCCGGTAACCTCACTCACACGGCGAAACACAACGCTGTGGTTGTTTCACGCCGGTTTTCTGTCAGGCTGTAATAGCATTCCGGTCGAGCCGACTCATTCGTGCCGAAGCATGGCTCTACACTTTGCTCAGGATTATAGGCTGATGATGATGAGATAGATGAGAAGGTATATGAAAAATGAAAAACATTTAGTAATATTACGTTCCATCCATAACTGGCCTTTCGAAGAATATGAGACAAGAGTATTTTGTAACATACGTGTTTGAAGTATAGGTACAATATGTTACTTGTACTGTATTGTCTATTTCTAAGTAAACAGATCAATATTTTGCAACTATAAATAGCGGTGTTTGTCAAGCGATGTCCACCTTCAAACTACCTAGTTGTTTATCACAACTGGACACGAAGGTACACAGATAACTTTACGCTTGTTTACACTCGAAGGGATAAGCAGATAAGCACGTCTATGTTTATTTATTTATTCCTGAATTAATACAAGTAATCGGTACAATAGGGATGATGATATACTCATTAGAGTTTTACTGTGAATCATAATTATTTATTATGTTTTCGGCTTTCTCACGTAATAATTTAACGAGATACTCGACTAGTTTCAAGCCATTTTAGAGGCCCATATTCATGAGCAGCATTCATTAGTGAATCATAATCATCGACACAAAAAAAAATGTATTATCATAATGTGCAATATGATAATACGTTTTTTTATGCGATAATGTTCGCTCAACGAGTTGACTGGACAAATTCGCTCAGTGGTAAGCAATCGTACTCTCCCATAGACTCCAACAATATCAAGTGCCTGGACTTATGCCCTCTTATTACGAAACAAGATTTATCTTAAGTCTTTTTTTTTGTCAGGGGAAAATCATCCAATGACTTCTCCCGCTCAAGGTAAGGCAAGAGAGAGTGTCAGACTCTTACTGACAAAAACCTCCCGTTCCTTCTCCTGCTCTGTGCCGAGGTCGCGGTGCCTCATTGAGCTTACCCCGCAACCCCGGCTGAATATCAGCCCTATTGGGCCCCGTCCGTGGTGGTCTATTGGCTCATTGAGGCGCGCGCGGAACGCTACGCGCCGTACGTTCGGGTCTGGTTCTGGTCGGGCGGCGAGCTACCCTTACTCGCCGTCCGCAGACCCGCGCTCACGGTGGCCGGAGATCATCTCATCATCAGACTAAAGATAAATCGAGATTATCTTTAGTCTAAGTTGAAACCATTGTGTCTGATTTTGTATTTGCAATCTTATTCTCACCTACCTTCGATTCGAAATACAAAGACTGGCTTCGCAGTTTAGACCTAGACTAAAGAAAACACTTGTTTTGTAATAAGGCCTTTTTGATATGAGTATTGGCAACTAAGCGGATGGGGATGATGGGATGTTTGAAAGCCTTCGGTAATCTTACACGTGGAAACATCACACAAGCATTGTTTCGCATCGATTTTTGTGATACCGTTGATACATAGCTCTACCATACTAAGTATTCGCCAGTTATACCTATATAGAAACGTATAAAAAACTATTAGTGAAGAACGAAAAATGGAGTAGACTAAACTATTTTTCTTATTCTGTAGCGCTGTTGCTACGCCGTAGCGCTCGTAGCATTGATAATACACCAAGGGTAGCCGCGGGTACCGCGGAAAGGAACAGGGTGGGTTTTAGTCAGTAAGTGTCTGTCACTCCCTCAGTCAAAGGCGCGTAAAAATTGATGATTTTTTCCCCTAGAATAAAGTATTTCATGTCCTTTTTAATTAGAGAAGGCGCATAATCCGAATATTCTCAATATGTCAATCTTGAGAATATTTGAAGTAAAAAATATTGTTACAACAAAATAATGTAGCAGACAAGTCAGGGAGCCTAGGTGGGAATACACGCATTACAAACACCCCACAAACCAATTAAGACTATCGGTTTTTACGAAGGATTTTCTGTCCGTCCGTTTTACACTTAATTTTCTGTTCTGTGGTTTTACCTGATGGTAAGCAATCAGCGCCGCCCTTGGACACAGGCAACACCAAAGGGATTGCGTTGCCAGCCTTTTAGGGATAAAGGTTTTGGATATTTATGGATTGGGAAGGGGGAGAGATTGGGCCTCTGGTAACTTCACTCACACGGTGAAACACAACGCTGTGGTTGTTTCACGCCGGTTTTCTGTGAGGCTGTGGTACCACTCCAATTG